AAACCATGAGTTCTAGCTGAAATATTCAAAACAGCAATTAAAATAATTAAATCATAAATAAACCCTTCAAGGTATTACATGAATAATGTTGTTCACTGCATGATTTAAACTTATTTTATAATTTAAAAATTATTTTTGCTGTTGCCTATCCATTTCATTATGTTTCTCTTTTTATCAACTGACAACGCGAATAATATGAGTACGATAGCCTTAATATAGAAAGATTATTGCGTAAAGCTGAGATATAATCTTGTCCATAACAATGGTGTTCATCAGCAGCCTGCATTGAAGCCTTCACAAAAGCTAATTGCACAACGTTGCCACTATGGATACTCCTCACTTTTGTGAACTAATCCTTCATCACTGCCATGGTAATCTGGTCTTAAAGCACTACCACAATACATGAAAGGCGTATTTGTGTGCCGCAAAAAGGTGTGGCACAATAAAAGAAGGGGTTTTATGGTTTGGAGCATTGTTTTATTTTATTCTTCGACAATATTCAGTATAAGTCATTAGTAGTCTACACATGATATACAATAATAAAGATAAACAGTATACTAAAGGTGTTAAATTTTAGTTCCAAATACTTTTTCAATGTTTATTTTATATTAATTGTTTTTCAATTTGATTTTTGTCAAACGCTAGTTACTAGTTTGTTATAACGTTATTAAAACCAATTAATAATTCACCTGACCACATACGTTATTGGGACTTTTTAGTGAGTATTCAGTACAATACCAAAATGCGAATAAAATCTCAGTATGTTTTCCCACAAATTCTATTTTTCTCATACAAACACCAAACCATTAGGCATTAATAGTTATACCTTATTTGGATGACAAGTTATAGATTCGTTCTTTTACCATATTTACTCATTGTATTTACTCAACATTTTAGTAGCATTGGAGTTGGTTACAAAAAAATTCTTGGTAATTTTTTTGAACGTAGTTTATGATGCATTTAATATGGCGAGGAAAGAAAAGTTATTAAAAAGATTTCCTAGCCTTATGTCATAATTTAAAGCTAAAGTCAGAGGCAAAAAGTACTGTAAGAGAAAGGTATGAATATTAGGGGGAAATCGACTGCTTTATTTAAAACTCTTGGGACAGGGACGAACTCACATTTTACTCAAAAAAGTAAGAATGTTACTTTTAAATTTTTAAGCGTAAAATAGATTAATTACGATATAATTTATTTGTTGTGACATTATACAATTAAGAATATATTTTAAATTATTTGTGTTTGTTCGTTGAGATTGCTTATGAAACAAATCTTAACCCTTAGAAGCATCGTTTCACACCAATAAGATTTAGTTACAAATTTATATGAAATATTTCACATTTTAGGAATCAGGTTGAAGTTTCTCTTTGGCCAACAAAGTTATCATTATTACCAAAACCAATCGATCTTAGTTCAATTATAAATTGTACAATAGCTCGGACCGTCCGTTTGTGCCCTGTTAACTGACCAGCCTCGAGAAACTTTGGCAAACTTACATTTCGCTTGACCTAATTGGTCTATAAAGTTATTTTCTAGGTAATCGTATACACCGTAATTAATTTGGAGTTCAGTCTGTAATTATCAAATAACTAGCTTGCGGTCCAATCTAACATACTTCAAAAGAAATGATATTATGTAGGTTTGAAGTTTTGAAATAAATGCGTAAGAAATACAACTATAAAAGATAAGTTGGTTTTTATTAGAAAACTGTTAATGCTATTACTAATAAAACAGTTAACGCAAGGATTGTATTTTTTAAGTTTTGTACATGATTTACATTAATTGGTAGCATAAATAATAAACGGTAAGTCTTTTATGATATGGGCGTGGATATAAATCAATTTAATGTTATAATATACTATTTGTAAAAAAAACTAACACACTTTTTTGTGTCTTTTTCTATAACTGTAGTAAGATTTTGTGACAAGCTATAATCATTGGCTAAGTATTAAAATAGTTTGTAAATAGTTTAGGTTTATCAAGTTTAGTATCCACAACTTATTATTATTATAAATCTTTTTGCATAGGATGAAACATAAGTAATTTGTAAGCTTCGAGTGTAAACAACGAGAACGCTAAACTGACAAACCAAAACACAAAACTGTAATTACTTTGTTAACTTGTAACTTACTTTTACGGTTTAAGTCTGTATCTTGTTGCTGACAACAACATCACATTGCTCATTAGTATAAGTTAACACATGAGGTTGAAAATATTTGGATTAGGTTCGTATAACATAATATTTAAAATTTAAGATTGGGGATTCTAGGTGATTGGTTGATGGTAACCTAAATATTCCGGTCGGTAAAATAAGAAAACAAATTTTACAGGAAACTCCACTTAGCATAAAGTCTTTACTTAAAAGGTTGCATGTTTACGTCACAGCAAAGACAACACCATTTTCTTCGATCTTTGTTAAGTAAGCTGGTATAGGTCATATGATATTGGGAGTATTATATTTGCTTCCGGAGGGGGGGGGGGGTTTAATTAATTATACCTGCTGCGATTCACATCTTTATAGAAAAGAAAGAAAAAAGTGCTTTATTCTTCACAACTTATTTACATCTTTTACAATAAAAAACAAAACACACAAAACAATGGTTTATTTAAACCGTCTGTTTGGTTGGCACCTTGCTGTAAAATAACATATTTTAAAACTATAACATGTAACTGTATAACTAGGTATACTTATATAAAAAAGTACATTTATAATTATTTTTAAATTTATGTAATACAGCTCGTAAAAAACATAAAATAAAAGCAACATTAATTCGTTTAAAAATGTGGTTCCAAGTGAGTCTCATGATTTTTACTACTTCACATCTTTATATCTCATAATCTTATATCTTAATATCTTATAACCTAAAGTGGAATCACATGAAATATTTCTATGACGCATTCATAACATAGGGATATTGTTTTTTTTTTCAAGGGACATTTTTCCCCTAATGAAAAAGTAAAACTTAGTCTGTAGGGATTATGATAGGTAACCATTAGTATTTCTACCATCAAATATTGGTGTTAGTATTATTTCAACAAAAAACAAATACAATAATATAGTTAAAGTACAACTAAAAGTATTGACAATTGTTGTTCAGAATAAGGTGGTAAAGTATTAAAGCATAAGTTTCGTGAAAAAGGTCATGGCTTAGTGTCATATAGTAGTGAACCACACAAACCATTTCGTACAGCCCTAAAGTTGCATATGTAACTGTTTGACTATGGTTATTACATTAGTAACATCTAGCCAATCGGCTTTCCCAAGTTAATTTCTTTATGATTTGTTTAAACACCTTGCAACTTCAGTAATTAGGTCAAAAGGTCTTAATTATTTGTGGTCTTGATTCAATACACCGACAACAAGGTATATATTGCGACTTTAGTATCAATGATAACTCAGTTACTACGTGTCTCGCATCTTAACTGTGTTAACTGTCTCTGGATTAACTCAGTTAGCAATGGTTCTGTTGATTTTAACCCTCCCATCAATTCATGCTTATTTGATACAAATGTTTTACCACCAAAACTATTGTTTGCAAGCTGCATAGTAGTATTTAGATTGGTAAAGTTTATTGGTTTAATTATATTGTGTTTTTTATATTATGTAAATAGTATTGTTCAATTTTTTGTAATAGTTACTAATCATTTCTATTTCATGTTTGTTTAGATACCGTAAGCAAATTTTAAAAAGCTGAAACTTTTCTACATTTTAAGTAGTTTTATAATATTTGTGAATATTTTTTAATAAATATGCAGTATAACTAAAAATAAAAATCGTCACATGGGTAAAAATTTTCTTTTCATCAAAAGTTCTTTTTCGAAAAGAGTGGCCTACACCCTAGTTAGGAAACGTATTACAATTCATGTCGTATTTCTAATCATATTTTCACGCGTACAATAATAACATTTGAAACAAATTCTGGCATAACATTTATTTCCCTGTGTAAAGATTGAAGATTGAGACTCGCATCGAAAGAAGATTATACAAAGAAGAAGAAACACCGTGGATAATAATTGCTGAGATTATGCCACATCAGAAAATCCTCATTGCTTCTGTTAGCTTGTAATACACAACAGTGGGCAATTCTTTACCTTTAAAGTTTTTTTTTTTTTTTTTTTATTATTATATGGATCACAAGGCTGAATAGTTTCCTAAGTTGTTAGTTACATTTCTGCTTTTTATGCTAAGAGTCACATCTTTAAAGGAGATAATCAATCACTTGCTCAAAGAGAGAGAAAATTATGCTTGGAAATGTTTCCCAAAACAAAAAACGAAAAAAATGAATTTTGAACTGTTATCTTAAAACTGACAATTTAGCCTAAATTCTTCAAGCAAATAATGTGTTTCTTAAAATATACTTAGATCTCTACACCCTCACAGTTATAAAAAAAAAAAAACAATTATAAACTATTTTCTAAATAAAAAAAAACATACCTCTTAAGATATAACTTATTAGATCAAATAATCCCGACTTGTTTTAGCAAATACATTTTGTAATTGGTCTAATCGTTTGGTCTTTCGTAACTAAATGTGCACTGAAAGTGTGTTCGTGATAATTTTAATATCGTGAGAGATTATTAATCTAAGATTAAATTAAGTCCAACACAACAATGGTGTTCATCAGCAGCCTGCATTATAGCTTTCACAAAAGCTAATTGCAGAACGTTGCCACTATGGATACTCCTCACTTTTGTGAACTAATCCTTCATCACTGCCTTGGTAATCTGGTCTTAAAGCACTACTACAATACATGAAAAGCTTATATTTAATAGAAAAATTATATAATAGGTGACTCAATAAAAACATTTACATTTGTTAAAGTTTTTAGTATTTTATTAATGGATTTTGTTATTAGAACAAGCTTTTTAATTAATTTGGAACAACTAAAACAAGTAATAATTTCAGTGGTTTTGTTTCCTAAAATAATTTTTTGTACCAGCTGAGCAACAACTGATCAAAACTAATATATTGTGCGTTTACGTTTTTCCAAAAAGATTAAACGTATTAATAGCCTTTTGTTTTTTTAATTTTTTTTTTTCTTTTAAAATAGCTTTTTTATCAAACGGGCACACGATAGTTTATTTTAAAGATGTGAATTCCTACACAAGTTAACCAAACTATAAAAAAAAATACTCAAAAGCTAAATAAACATAACCAATAACTACATGGTTATCTAAGTTCAAGAAATACTCAAATCTTGATTTTAGAGTTGTGGTGTTTTAATATCAAACACATAAAATATTAACTTTATTCGTACAAAAATACTTACTTACTAATTTTACAGAGTGTTTTAAATAGTTTTGATTTAAGTTACACAACAAGTGCTATAGATGGAAAACCAACGTTTTAGGAGCTATATACCCTCTGTCAATACCAGTTTTGACGATGCCTCTGAACGCATCAAGCATGTTTAGTGGTGGGGGACTCTCTGAAAAAGAAAACAATTTAATATACTGTACACTGTAAACCCTGTATACTAAATGAATGTTTGTAACCTATAAAATATAAGTTTACTTAAAATCTGAGCATTGAAATGTTACCAATACATTTTCTCCGAAAGTACTGAATAGATTAAATTTTTTTGAATAAAATGTCTAATGCTTTAATATTATTTAAACCGAAATAAAAAAAATCATGGAATCTGTTATTTATAATAATAAAACTTTCAACTATTATTTATGTAGCACCTTTACATTCTACAACGCTTGAAGCAAAATGGTGTTTAATGCACTTCTTACCCGGCTCAGAGGTAGATCGTGTCATTATCATTAAGATAAAATATATAGGTGACTGATAGCATATTCCCGTGTTATATCACTTTACTATCTCGACCCTCTAAGTTCACTGCTGTATTATAATTAAAATATGTATCGCTTGTATTAAGATCTTACCACTGAACTCTCCTATGAGAGCGATCATAATACTCGAAAACCTCAATTGGTAATATGGACATGGTATCGTTCCCACGACATTGAACCCTCTACCTTCATACACTGCGCCATCTCCACCAACAAGAAAACTGAAAAAAATTTATACAGTATCGTTTTACCAAAGTATGCTTCATTTAAGAGAGGTAAATTAACTTAAATTAATTTAAGTTTACTTAAGTTACTTAAATTTACATTGATAAAATAAAATAAAATAGTCTTCTTCAGGATTTATCGAATAAAAACTTCTTCATTCGAATAGAATAATACTTCGGTTTATTAAATCTTCATTTCCAAATACATAAATTGGTACCAAAATAGAAGTATAAGAATAAACCCCCAATTTGGGGTTCAACCAAACACATCACATAAAAAGACACAACTCAAACTTTTACTAATTTACATATCAGACAGCAACAAACTAAGACCAAGACACGTGGTCACCGGGCTTATATGCGCGGAAGATCAGCTTCCAGAACATTTTACCAAAGATGAATTCTGATTGGCTGGAGCCATCCTTGCCTTGCCATTACATGTTTTGCTCAACTCGACTTGCAATTTGTTGGACTATTGTACAATATAGTACAGTTCATATTGTTTTGAAATTTTTACCACAAATTATAGTCACATTTAATATATAATTTTAGTGAAAATAATTATTTAAATAAGTCCTTCGTTCTGAGTATTTTGTAGGATGAATACAATCTTTATTGGGTATGCATGAGTCAAATATCTCATATTTGTGCAGTTATTCTTGACAAATCTTGTCAATATAAGTAAAAAAATCACTTAATAGATCTAGAGTGCTATTTAGTCTGTTCTATGTGGTTATTGAAATAGAAAATAACTAGGTTATACGTAAAAAAATATTGAGGACTTCTTATATATACACTTTGTTACGTTCATAAGATACGCAGGCAGTCCTACTACCTTTTACTGTTCGGTCAATAATTGTACGATATTACCCTTGTATGTACATACTTTTTACATTATACTGTCTCTGTTTCTGACCATACGGTGAAATGAAAGTGTTTAAAATGTCACATTAATCATAAAAAGTGTCTATTCGTCAAGCCATATTGTAAATAAAAACAGTGATTGATTTGATCTTGCAGGTGGGGTCACGTTCAACAGAAAACCGTACATTGGGAAAGCTTGCATTTAACTATATGTACCACTGAATCAGAGACATGACGCAACAGCCGTCCGGTTCAATGGCATTGGACGGCTTCAAGACGGCCCGGTATTCTAGTACCACCGAAACCGAGTTGTATGAAAGGTCACACGCTCTTCTTAACTCCTCAAATGAAATATACCCAACGCTTCTTTCACACTATACTACTCACTATGCTATTCAAAAGGGCATGAAAGCTTTCACACTACACGGTTACAGAGACGGTAGAAACCCGTGCCGTCTTTCGGTCGTCCACTGTGGCTGTCACTGAACGGACGGTTGTTGAGCCGTGGGCGTGACTAGCGTCTAGACTGCCAGTGCAACTCCGAGGATCGTAGATCAGAGGCGCTGTGGCACCACCGCACCATGTCGTACGCTTCCGAATCATACTGACGCATCAGCATAGCTTATCTAACTGTTCGCGGAAAATTGTTATCTGTATCACTGTCGCTGTAAAAACGTATAATTTGTAGGTTAAATTTAAATTAAATATAATTAAACTATCATAACCTAACCAAACTTGCTGATAATGATAAACTCGAATGAAGGCTTACTAATCGAAAAATAGCTCTGTTCCAAAAATAATATTATAAATGTCTCAAATTCAATTTTACAATTTTTTAATTATAAAATTAAACTGTCATAACCTAACCAAACCAACCAAACTTGCTGATATGAAAAAAACATGTGTTGACAAAAAGTTAGTGCTACCAGCGGGATTCGAACTCGGCACCTTCAAATTATCAGCCCGGCACGCTATCCACTACACCACTAAGGCTCATGACTCAGCTCCGTGTCGTTGCAGTAATGGTTGACGTCACGCCATCGGCACGGAGCGGAGGTGGGGGTTTTTCGATCTGATCCACGATCCTAGGAGTTGCACTGGCAGTCTAGATGCTTATGTGGGCGTGCGTCAATAATTAAACGTAAATAATTTAACGTGTAGTTAAATGCAAATTTCATACTGCACGATTTTTAATCGAACTGAATCCCACCAGCCAGTTCAAATAGTTGATGCGATGTTTATAGTTTACAATCTGCCGTGTCAATTGGATATGTATGTTTATTGTTAATTTGTAAACACTTTGTCGCCATACATTCGGAAACTATGTAATGTGAAAGAAACATAGAAACGGTTGAAATCCGCACTGTTTTTAACCGTACGTCAATAAGCCGTAACCGTATAGTGCGAAATAAGCGTTATAATTTGATTCAAAGGCCAGGATGCTTCTCAGTCACATTATTTAGTAATATCCACATTCAAATACACATGAAACTACTTACTTGTATTTAATATCAGGAACTCTATGAAATGTTATATGTCTTCGCTGTATATCCTTCACTATTCGTTGACAAGTGTTGCCGTCGTTGCATTTGACTTGATGAGTGGATACTAGGAAAATGTATTTGACGCTTGATGGCTTCCGTATGTATTCTACCCTTGACGCTTCTGCTGCACCCCATTCTCTTCTGGTTACAACTTCTAGCATCTCAGTCTGTAGCAAATACTTTTTAAATTACTAATAAATTTATTTTTTCTTATTTTGGTCCTTTGCATGCTAATTTTCCGTCAAATTACAAAAAATAGTAGGCCAGGATGAGTTGGTGAGTAAAAAACTTAAAACGCAAGACAGCAATAGTCATAGGTGTTTAACATTTAAAACTGGTCAAGAATTTGTAATTTTCCCAAATAAGACTTTATGCATAGGGAAGAGCAGTTAAAAATTCGAACGTATGTGAATATGTTTTGTACAAATAAATTTCGCCGTGTTTAATGGAAGACCTCAGAAATTCACACAGCAATATTTTGGATCCAACTATTATATTTATAACGATTGAAATTACAGTTTTGCGATTCTATCTAGTTCCATTGTATTTTTTAATAAATAAGCATGTTATATCAATCCATCTTTATATATTTTAAGTGCATTTACATTGGTCCTAAAAATAATAATGTATAAGTGATTGAATTGTCTTTGGATTAAAAGGGTAAATACATTTATTTTACTTCTCAGGAGTGACATAAGAGGAGCACTAGTGATGAAGAAGATATCTTTAGGAATTTGATTTCCATTGCAGAATAGGTAAAATAACAATATATACGTACTCTAGAGATAAGCATCTAGACTGCCAGTGCAACTCCTAGGATCGGCCGATCGGTAGGATCGTGGATCAGATCGAAAAACCCCCCACCACCGCTCAGTGCCGATGGCGTGGCGTGACGTCAACCATTACTGCAACGATACTGAACTGAGTCATGAGCCTTTGTGGTGTAGTGGATAGCGTGTCGGGCTGATAATCTGATGGTGCCGGGTTCGAATCCCACTGGGAGCACTAACTTTTTGTCAACAATTTTTTTCATATCAGCAAGTTTGGTTGGTTTGGTTAGGTTATGACAGTTTAATTGTATAATTAAAAGATTGTAAAATTGAATTTGAGACATTTATAATTTTATTTTTAGAACAGAGCTATTTTTCGATTAGTAAACCTTCATTCGAGTTTATCATTATCAGCAAGTTTGGTTAGTTTGGTTAGGTTATGATAGTTTAATTATATTTAATTCAAATTTAATCTACAAATTATACGTTTTTACAGCGACAGTGATACATATAACAATTTTCCGCCAACAGTTAGATAAGCTATGCTGATGCGCCGGTATGATCTGATCCACGATCCTCCGATCGGCCGTTCCTGGGACTTGCACTGGCAGTCTAGACGCTAGTACTCTAGAGTAGCTATGCTACGAATACTTCCTACTCTTAACCAAAAATTATTTTTCTAGAAAGAATAATTCGTTTACGACCCATTAATCTACATTATAAAGGAATATTTGACTTTACATCCTAGGCTGCTAGGTTCTAGCCCAGAAATGTTATACATATCACTTCAAGGTCACGTCATTATTACATGGATAAAATCCATTGGTGACAGGTGGGATTTGAACCCAGGACCCCAGGATTTGAAACTTGTCGATACCACTAGACCAGTTTGCTTCCCAGCTACATTATAAGGATAGGTATTTATATTTGAGTAACTAATACAAAAAAACTTTTATAACCGTCACAATTCGGTAAAACATACGGTTGGCAAATAAAGCATCAAAAGGTTGATTTGCAACGCTGTGGCATGTGCATGTCAATTCAAAATCCACACAATCTCTTTGATATTCCCTGTGTCACGACTGCATGATCCCTAGCTGATGGACATGTAAATCACTTCTGGTAAAAACCAACCCAATTAGAGATTTAAATCTTGTTCAAAGTGCAAACGAGTATTGGTGGGTTTGAAGTTTCTCTATGTCTATTATAGGACTTGACATACCTAAAAATAACTATATATATGTTTGGACTAACTAAAATAGTGTATTAAGTAATCCTGTCAATTCATTAACTACGTTGCATGTAATCATTATGTAATTCAAATTACAAGTTTGAAAAAAATAAATGCTTTCTATCCTGGTTATATTTACTAAATACCATTTCACGTTCAGTAAAGTTATAAGCTATACCTGTTATTTTAGTAGTACTACATACTGTCCTTTGAATTTATTATTAGGATGTGATCAGACCGTTGTGTTGAGTACAGTAAATATTTGCAAAATCAAATACGATTGAGTCCACCATCCAACAATAGAAGTTCATCGATAGGAGAAAGTGGCTCTTTTTGGTACGTAATCGTGTTTTACTATTTAGGAAATACGATTAAGTACCAACAATACCCTTTTAGGCTATACAAAGCCGTCATCAACATCAAAATTTCTGTTGTTTACAAACAAAACTAAAATATCGTGTGATAAGAAGAGTTTTGATAATATACTAACACGACTACGCAATACATTTTGAGGTTGGGGAACCAAAAAATTTACCATATGTTTTTTTCTGTTCCCTATTTGAAGTCACCTGAAAACGATTATTTTGTGGACGATTTAGAGAAAAAAATCGGTTGTTATTTGGACAGTATGATAATAAATGTTTTTTTCGCGTATAAGTATGAAAAGAGTGTAAATTAAAGGTAATATATCTTGTCTCATATAAAAAAAAACTTGTTCGACGAACGCAATTATGAGAAATTCAATCAAGTGCGCTAGATGTTTTGAAAGCGAACGGGAAACTAATAATTGAATGAGCCCGTGAAACTCAGGAAGAGGTGAATACCTAACTGTTGATTGAAGTTTCCGAATTGAACTTGTCTGCTGATTGATTTTATATTCAAATACGGCTGAATAATTGATTACGACTTAATGACTATTGTCAAACACTCCAGAAGCTGCCAAAACTTCAACAAAATTGTTTTTCTCTATTCATGCCAATAAGGTTTACAAAGAGCATATTAAACATATAAACATTGTACATATGTAGGGTTTAACACAACTAAATTTTAGTTATTGGATCCATAAATAGCACAGATTAAGACCAAAATCTAAAACTCGTGAATTTACCGAGATAAATTGGTTTAAAATCATGTACGGTTGGTACAATTTATGTTTATTTAAAAAAAAACAAAAAAAACAATTAAGTTGGTATTTTTTATTTTCCATAAAAATTGTGTACCACTTAAACTCTTAATACTATAATCTTATAGTCGTAAATTTACCGAAATGGATTGCGTTAAAATCGTATACGCTTTATGATATGATTGTTGGTACAATTTATTTATTGATACTCCATTCATACTCATAATAACACTATTTTATGAAAACAATGGATCTATTTTAGATATAAACATTAAAATGTTATTGCTGTTTTAATAATGGAAAAATATTTTATCTTTACTAAATAAAGTTTGGATTAAGTTAAAATATCCCAAAGATAATTATGCTTAGTCGCAACTATACAGGGTGTCCCGGAACTCTCTACCAATATTTTAGGGCATTGCTCCTGGGTAAGAAACATAACTAAATATCATGTTTTAACTGTCCGGAAGTCCTTAGTTACTCACACAGCCGCAACTTTGTTTTTTTCAGTTATACATTTTTTTCTAAAGAATGGTTAAACATACGAAATGGAAACTTTGCACAAACATTTATGACAACTAAACAAAGCTACCAAAAAATTATCACGATTATTCAAATTCATAAAACAAAATGGCGGCCATTTAAAATTTTTGTAAAATCAATGGTTTTTGAGTTATTTAAGAAAGAAAATTTTAAATGGCCGCCATTTTGTTTTATGAATTTGAAAAATCGTCATAATTTTTTTGTAGCTTTGTCTAGTTGTCATAAATGTTTGTGCAAAGTTTCCATTTCGTATGTTTAACCATTCTTTAGAAAAAAATGTATAACTGAAAAAAACAAAATGGCGGCTGTGTGAGTAACTAAGGACTTCCGGACAATTTAAATATGATATTTAGGTACGTTTCTTACCCAGGATCAATACCCAAAAATATTGGTAGAGAGTTCCGGGACACCCTGTATAATTTTAACTCTTCATTGTATTTAGATATAGTTTATGAAACATGCTGAAAAATATCATAACTTTAGTTTATTATACATGATCATTAAAAAATAATATACAATAAAATTAACAATTACATTTATTTTACAATGATTTAAATTTGAAGTATGTATTAGATTTTCTTTTTAATCGTTAGGCTACTAATCCCATTTTCAGTTTTAAAACTTAGTCCTGTTTTCTTTTATCAGTTCGTTATCATTAGTTTTTTTATATTTTATTGTGGTAACAAGTGTTGCTTAATTACCATGTTACTCTTATGGAGAATAAATAAACTGTTGTAGTTTGCTTGTTTTTGGATGAATGTTGATCAAATTTAGTAACTTTGTTTATTTCATACCAAGCTATTGAAGTTTTAATAAAAACACAACTCAATACCTCCCCTGTAGCAGCAAACCTAGGTACTCATTATAAAATTAATGTTATTTAAATAGGAAATTAATATGAACATTTTCAGGGAACATTTTTGTAGAAATCCAGCCAGGTAAAAGGAAATTCGCATAGAATGCAGGTTGGCTGCGGTGAGGGTATTTTTTAATTGTGGTACAAAGTTTCGCTTAAAAAACTAAAGAGTCCATATGTTTACTGGGAAACTATATTTGTATATAAATTTAATTTATACCTATGCATTAAATAAGAACATATTTTTACATTTTAAACTTATTTGTGCTTAAAAACGTATAAAGACAAAAGTGATTGCCATACCGTTATCTTCCCTCCGAATGTCAAGTTTGACAGTAAGTTTCAACGCCCCAAGCTGTCTTTGACTTCTATAACAACTTCAAAGTTCAAGGTCCTATCACAGCTAAAAAATAACTTTAAAGTTATCTTACAATCTTCTTTTTCAGATAAGAATAGTTTATGACCACGGCTAGCCGTTCTTGAAACTTCTGTTTAATATCCACATAAGACTCATATCGCATTAACGTATTTATGTATTTGAATAGTGAAAGTAAACATTTCAAGAGCACGACACTCGAATGATGAGAGGAAGATAAGATATTTGTAGATATCTGTATAGTTTATCATTAATAATCAACTATGAATTATTTAACGCCTTATAAATACTAAATAAAACGTTACAATTAGAGATTCGTTATCTGGCTAACATTGGATTAATAAGAGCTTAAATGTATTACATGGAAAGTAGGCTTATACAGGGTGAACAGCTTAACCTTACACCTTTGGTTTGGTATCTCAGAAACAGTCTGAATTAGATAAAAGATTCAACTGTAAAGAAGTATTTTCTTGTGACAATAAATAATATGAATTTTATCTTTTAAAAAATGTTTCAATTTAAATTTGGCTAATTTTTAAATGTATTATATAACACATTGTATTTTATGTTTAGTTTGGTATGTAAATACATTTGAACGTTTAATCCCTTACATTTTTTCTCTAAACTTACTCGTTAAGGAGCTACAAGCTAGAGCATATGTAGAGTACACAGCAAGCCACTTTTTTCAAGGTTTAACACGCAATTCCTTCTTATATAGCTTTAAATATAACAGCTTAGATATAATTACTAGCTTCAGAGAAAAGGTTTGAATAATAAAAACGTTTTTTGATTGCATGAACATCCAAAAAAAGCACTAACGAAAAGGTGTTTGATAAGAAGTCCGTCCTAAGTTTAGCCCAGATATTACAAAATGAAATCTAATAGTGTCTGTGATATTGGCATGGGTCCTATTTAAGTTGTTTACCCTAAATAATAATCACACATTGACTCCAATGGCATTAAAAAATTAATTCATTTTTATACTTGGATGTAGTAGTTCCCAAAACTATGATTATAATTAAATAACAAACCGGTAAAAAATATGTAATTTATTTAATATGGTTAGCAGTTAAAGTTTTATAAATGCTTGCTCTACTAGTCATATTTCTTACAACATGAAAAGGCCCCTTGTTTTTTATTTTAAATTACTTGGAAAACAGTGAAACTAGTGATCCATATAATGATTTAGTTTTAAGTTACCCATCTAGCTCTAAATTTAGGTTTAGAGAGAACGAAGCACTCATAAAGTAAAATATACATCTTTAAAAACAGCACTACAATTCATTAGAATAAGGAAATGGCTACAATAAATAATATATTCTAGAAAATGTAAAAAAAAAACCACCTTCATCTATCTAAGGGAATAAAATTTACTATCCAGTCTACTAATCCTGTCTATATTAAATTTTACATGGTCATGAACTGTAAAACAAACTATCTATGATTAAATAGCAGAGCAATCACTTGCGAATCCGGGACCAATACGTAAAATGCTTTTAGGACAGCTTCACAAACAGAATAGGTTATACGGCTTTCATACACGTTCTGATTGCAATAACAACGAGTTTTGCATTATAAGAATTGAGTTCGTGAAGATATAAATTTAATCATAGTATTTAACGTAATATTACTTATACACTTACAACCATATGTCAATTTTTCACTTATTTATTTAGAATAAAACTCATATTTCAAATTTAAACAATTTAATAAAGCATCACTTTGATTTGAAAAATGACACTTTGTGTCGGTTCCATTTGAAAGTATGTCATTTGTAAAACTAATTTATATTCCATATGGTACGAGGTGAATTGGACTACCTGTACACAACGGTTTGGCCTAACAAGCGTAAAAAAAAACTATTTTATTGAGAATCTGCTATTAAATTTTTGTTCTGGGTTACGATTTTAAATTGTCACTTAAGGCACGTTTCTCTCAATGTTGAGATCATTCAGAGTATTATGTGCGAAATGAGTTTAAAAATTTTTAAACATGTTGAGAATCCAAGACATTTTAAAAATTTTTGAAATAGGGAATTTTTTGAAGGTTAAGTAGTGCGATTCTCGAAAAAACCTCTTGAAGTATCTTAAAGAAAATTCAATTCCTGACCATGGAAATTCTTTTAAATCTTTACTAGCTTTTAGTGTTTTCGAGCTATAGACGTGTTAAAAACGAGGAGTTTAGGGGATTTTTTTTGTGAGGGTTGAAATTTGAAAATGTAGCTTTTTAATTTTCTGGGTGTAATGGACCGAAATGGGACTTCACAAAATATTTCAGACCCCTTGCTTTTCTAGAAGTGGGTAAACATATGTATGACTGATCAGTGAGTAAGTGAGTTACATAAGCGACTGTGTATACCGTAAAGTTTGTGCACGGGTGGACTGATTCACCCTGTATTCTCTTTCTGTCAACATTACTTTTTTACTGAGTAGATTATTAATCAAACTTTGATGATCTAAAATTCTATTGATAAAACACTCATTGCTGGAAATCAAAAGACGCTAAACTTTACAAATCATTGACTATCATGTACAATTTTGAATGTTCTAAAATTGCTGGAATCCCCAAACTCTATACTTTAGTAATTGTAGTTTTTTAATTACTTTTAATTACTTTTTCTGTCGAAGTAATAAGAAAATATACAACTCAAAAGGCTTAAAAGTAAATTTACTTCCCTTTAAGTTAAAAAATATATTTAAAAAATACATATATACACTATATTACGATTACACCCACGCCACTTTTAGTTTTGAATCACAGGTTTGAGTTCATTTTTTAAAAGCACCAAAAGATACTAGCCAGTAATCACCTTGATTCCACAATTTCCTATATCTTGTACAGAAGTATAAACATAAACTTCCTGTTTATAATATCATCCCTTAGTCCCGCCTCCACAAGAAGGTTTCTGTGGAAGACCATTTTTTGACTCGGGCGTATTCCTAGAAGCAGAACGAAATTGTTATAACTACTTACAGATTGGCATGAAATAAAGATATTATACTGTTTATATTTATATGCTAATAAGAGAGCCCATAGAAACACATACTATTCCGTTTGAATATTAATACTTTATACCATATTAAAATGTTTTCGTGACCATATAAAAATACAGTCTAATTATAAATTAAAGGCGTATATTACTTTATAGTAAATAATGAAACAATTTTAGCTATTTGGATTTGTTCCTCATGTCATTGAAATTGCCATGCAGCATGTGATCTAGTTTTATTGAAAAAAGTCATTTGTACACAAAAAAATATAGAGAAGATATCGTTTCTATTATTAACTTACTTGCATTTGAACAATTTGATTTTGATTTTTTTGTAATGCTAGCTGCCCCTGAACTATTTTCAATTTTTGTTCTTTTTATTTGGACGAAAACGTGGTTTAAGTGAGCACATTAAAACTCAATCCAGGGACTGTTGAAAAAAATATAGTTATTGTTATTTATCTTAAGATTTTCTCAGTTTATATAGCCTGTTATAAAATATCCAAATTACCAGTTAAAATTCTTTTTACAAAGCAAGTAATGCATAACAATTAGCATTTTTATACATTTGAATAAATTATATAAGTGTAAAATACCCATGCAATACATCGAAAAATCTAAACATTTCTGTTTTATAAACTCACGAAAGCAACAATGGTTACCTTTGAGCTTTGATTAATTATTTTATAACTTTTACTTTTAAAATATTTTTAATGATAAACTGCCCACCTCCTGCTGTCAGAGGACCCACGAAGGCTATATAAAGACTATGAGAGACCCACTTGGAGTACCTCGAAGGCAGAGATGGTCTCGAGGCCCACCCTCTTCCTTCATACACCTCTCCGTCCCCGCCTATACAGAAACTGAGAAAAATCTTTTGTTTGGTTTGATACAGATTGTTCAATGAATAAAACTCTACTAAAAATTTCTAAACTAGTTGTAATGGTGCGACAAGTTACACAAGTGCTCTTAAAGTTCAATTGCAGAAAACATGTTCATTAGAAATCTTACAAATGTTTAAACAAAATGTAATACAATATACAGTTATTTAATAAAAAATGGGTAAATACTTCAATACATGTATGTAGGGAAAACATCGATTTGCTTGAATAAGAAAAAGTCACTAAACAGGAATAGCTTGGTAGCCTATGCTAAGGCAATATAAGAAAAAATAAACATTGAGAACATTTTGAAAACTGTTTAGTTTAAAGTAGACGTATTAATTAAGGCCAAACGATGAAATAATAGCCTACTTATTAATTTGATAATTCCGCAAAATATGACACAACGTAATCCATATGCAACATAATAAAGTATTTATTTATTTTATTTTTATTTTATTTATTTATTTATTTATTTACGGCAAAATCGCCATTTGTACAATCAATTACATGCATAACAATTTGTGGATCAATAAATACTAATTATAATTAACATGCTATAAGTTTTACATCTTGCTAAGGATAATTATTAGTCAATCAGTTATTAATGACAATAATACAACCTAAATATACAGTTATGATAGTATTAGCTCCCAAGTTACAAAATTATAACTGCAGAAGACCATGTAAGTTGACAGTTTAACACAATGGTGAAAGCCATGTGCTAAGAATCAACAAGGTAGACCGGTAAGTTTGCTTAAAGGTCCCCAAAAGGGCAGTTAAGATTGCAGAACACTACCAGATAAACAATTAGATCTGTAGTCTAACAATCTAGACTGTTGAGATTTCAGAAGGACACTAAATAAGTAGTTGAGAATAAATAAGTCGAATAGGTAAACGGTTAAGTCTGCAGAAGACCTTTAGGTTGATATTTAATACAGTAAAATGCAATTGTGTAGTTAGTTATACTAAAAGGAATAGTAAGAGGCCTTAACGGGGCGTCTAAAAAGTGTTTGGTAGGACACATCATCAATTGATTATTATGGATAAATTTAAGTAAGTACAAATACAAGTTAGTTTTACACAATATGGCTAAATTACTTGTATCTGATAACTGGTAGGACGCCTCCATATCTCGCCTCTTAGTCCAGAACGTCTAGAAAGGGTGACACAAATCATCACTTGAATATTTATAAATCAATTTAGAAAGTAAGTAAGCACAATATGGCTGAATTACTTGTATCTTATGTCTGGTAGGCCAGCCTCCATATCTCGTCTTTGCATGTCTCTCATGAGCATCTTGCAGTGGTCTGTGTGTGAGCATCCTTTAGAATTGGTCCTCAGGCCACAGAACACAGCTGTCACAGGGTCTGTTAAGTAGTCTAGCTGGCCTCGGGGCGATTCAGCTTCCCATGCTTCTCGTTGGAGCGGAGTAAAAGTTGCCGGCTCAAATTTCAACCTTGTACGATCCATGGTATCTAAAACATTAAAACAATTGAATTTTATGTAAGAGAAGTAAAAAAAAAAAAAAATAAACATTGATTTTCTTTACCTTCCTATCATTATCAGTTACTTACTTATACAATGGCTGGGTAGCTGAGTGCTTATAGTGATTGCCTAAAAATCAAAATGTCATCGGTTCAACTCTTAGAAAGGTTAGTAGCTTTTTGATGGTTCGAAATCTGACTCAGATGTCTCTGATTATTAGGCTTGAAATAAATGGAAATTGAAATAAGTTCTGGTTAATGAAACAGGATCATCAGTAACTATTAAATAACTAGAGGAGTTGATTATAAGCCTTAACAAGTTATAAAAAAAAACTTTTGTATTACCTTAAACTTACTATGCACACCTAATATAGGCTATTTAGCTCCCCTCAACAGTTTGTTAGGAGTCTTTGAAGGCTCGTGGCCATCTTGGATAGTTTCAAACCTGAAAAGCTATTTATTGTCCAAAAATATTATTTAAAACATAAAAGTTATCATAATTTAAATGTCTAGTATACTGCGTGATTGGAAATGTAGTTTTGAATTTTCTCCAAGGGAGATCATGGAAGCTAACGTTTATCTTGGATTTGCCCACCATAAGAGCATATGGAGTTAATTTCATGAACATAAAACAGCCATGAAGAGTTTGAGATTTACCATCTCAAAATATTTATCCAAAGACCAGAGTGATCGTAATTTAAGTATCTAGTATACTGCGAGATTATAAATTGCCTTTGCAGTTTTTTAATCGTTTAACGAGTTAGAACGTCTAGGCTCCAAGGACTCTTAATAATCTTAATATTTCCTGGAATGTTTTCTTTTTAATGCTGCATGGTTGGGTTCAACGATATTACTATTTAGTATCATATTACTAAACAGTTTATAATGTAAGTTTAACTACAAGACCAAAATCGAAAAATGAGTTTTTCTGAATGTTATGTTGCGTGTAGTAAACTTAGTGAAGTAGTCAAAAAAGCAAAACTAAAACCCCCCAAAAAACAAAAAAAACAATGAGTGTGTGACATAATAAACAAAACATGTTAATCTTTGTTAGCCAATAATGTCTTTATACAATAAATTTGCGTTCTTGGTTTACCAAACTAATTAATTGGTCAATTTTGAGAACCATAATGGTATTTTGCAACGTTGATTTATTTTAAATTACCTTAATTCATTTTTTAAGAATAAAATGATTATAAACATGATTATGATTATAGCTAGTGCTAATTAAATCACTTAGGTAATTTTACCAATGATTTTTGTCGTACTACTAAGCCTCTTAAAGTACCTTCGCAAATATATGAGGTAAATATAGGCCTATTGGGACGTAGAGTATACGTGTATTGTAATTTATCACAGTGTCTCAGTAAGGAAATATGGAAAACACATACTTCAAATTGCATGTCCTCAAACGGGTACATGAACTTGACTATTTTTTGTAAGTTTCAAAATACAGGGTTAGTAAAAAGTCTGGAGACCCCTCTTAATTTTTTAATGGCCTATACTGGAAAAAATAAACTCGGCATACATTTATGGCATATTATGTACTTTTTGGGGATAACCGCCATTTAGTGTACATCACCAAAATGGGGGATTTTGGGGGGAACTAAAAAATTTCAAATCGTAAGACCCAACGATTCTCTATCTCAATCCAGTAAAAAAGGACAGCTAATAGAAGATTTCAGAAGTTCATTTAACTTACAGCTTTCCAAGTTTGGAAACCCCATGTAAACGGCTCACACTAGAAAAACTAAACTCTGCACACCTTTTGAAATGTTATGAAGTACTTTTTGAGCCTAATTGCTACTTGGTTCCCAAACCCAAAATGGGGGATTTTTGAGGGAAACTCAAAAACTTTAAATGTTAATCCCCATCAAGTGACCCCTCATTTTAAAGGTCGTGATAAAAGAATGGGCCGTTAAAAATTAACAGGAGGGGGGTCTACAAAATGTTTACTAGCCCTATAAGAAGCATGGTTAATACCTATTACTCTCCTAAAGACCCGTTTGGTTAATGTTTAAATAAACAGCAAATATTATTAAAAATATATAATTTACTTACGTTATTTCTTCTATAACAGGAATCCTTTAAGTAGTATAGCATCTGATTCCATCGTTCAATTTCTTCACTTGACCGATAAAACCTTCCATGTTTACAGAGTTTTTACTTCACTCATAGTACTAAAACAGGGTTTGAATCTATTTTGCTATCGTACCAATTTAGATAAGAATAATTACAATTTCTCCACCTACTGATATTAATAGCAGTTTATTGTTTTGTATTATATTATGAGTACTTTGTATTATTGTATGTTATTAACATATATATATATATAAAACCCAAAATTTTAAATATAGAATAGTGTACAAAAACATTAAAATCGTAGATATTAATATCAAACATAAAAATATATTTAAATTATTGTTCGTAAAACATCATAGTAAAATATATGTTACTTGCACAAACAATTTTAGATTGTAACATAGATATTAATACTGTTTCGTAAATTACCTCTAATTCAACTTGAGTAGAAAAATAATAACGAATTATTTTGAGTTACAAAATATCCAAAAATAGTTCAGTCCAACTTCTAATGTCATGCCGTTACTTTTCAACGAAAGATGTAACCTGTGATAGTAGTATCAGCTATATATTACTTGGTTTTACTTACAGTTGTTGCCAAGTTTGTTAATTTGAACATATATCGTGACTCAACGAAGAACATGGTGCGTAAAAGACATTGGAATATCTGTTAAATTACACCCCATATGGGAACTTTGTTTTAGGTACTAAATTTACAACTAATTAACCAAAGTTTCAAATACTGCATTTTAGAAACACAAAAACAAACAAAAATAAAGAAACAATAGTTTTGCAATGATACTGTAACTTAATTAAACTGTAGTCCTTAATTCATAAATCTATATTTTTTACAGCAGTTGACATCGTAATAACTTTTATTAATTTAAATGTAACACAAACATAAAGTAAGTGGACGGTAAACAGAACCAGCTAAGTAATTATTGTTGTATTAAAAATATGAATCATATTGATACATTAAATATATTACAACTAGCAGAGTACTCGTCCTTCACTTGGCGTATATAAGTATAAAACTCTTATTATAGTTGTGGAGTGTTTGTGAATAAAAATGAAATATTAAGAGAGAAATAAAATAAGTCATGTTTTCAAGAAGAACAGAAATCAATAATATTTATTTATACAGTTTGAATCATTTTTTAAACATCAGCTGTTCTAAATAAAGGCCAAAGAAAATTATTTGGTGAAAGAACTGAACAATAGTGTTGTACTCCTGCTTTACATTTGCAATGGAAGAGGACAGAGAACAGGAAAAGTTTTGAGAAAATTTGGTTCTTAAAATTTGCACTATGCTTTAGTAAAACACATCTACCATAGCCATAATGTCCTGCCACTGCACATAATCAATAGATAAAATTAAACCATCACACATTTGCACAATATGTGACATTATTTATTGAGTTAAAAACATAAATTTCCTACTTTGAAAGTTCTTGTTGTGTGTCACAGCTTTTTGTAGTTTAGTTCATAAGCTGTTGTCATAAATGAACAAAATATTAATCGTGCTGCACCCTGTTGGTAAACCTTATAACTGTTTAATGCTGTTAAAAATCATATAGCCAACTTTTTTAGTTAGAACAGCTGTCAAAAGTATTTAATTATTTTTTAATATGAATATTCATAAGGTTAACATAAAAAACTTCAGAACCACTGGGACGGAGCCCGAATGGATTCTTTAAATAATAATATGTTTATATGTTAATTGGGAATGATCCGACCAGTAGTTGATGCGGGATTGAACTTCAACAAAAACAAACATACACACAAACTTTCACATTTATAATATGAGTATGATTTGATTGTTTCGCTTACGTTTCTCAATGTGTAGGTAGGTAAAAAAGTTTTGTAAATAAATTTATAAAAATTGTTGATATTTTTTTAACTTCAAACTATATACACTATATTTCAAACATGGCTAATTATCCAAAGTCCCTGGGACTTTTGGAGTTACAATGCTGTATTCTAAATGCTTTGCACTGACATATTTTAGTGAAACTCCGTGTTCGACTAGGTCTGTCCTGGCCTGAAACATTTTTTCACTGGGAGCCTTGTCTGGAACATAATTATAAAAATATAAAATCAAAGAAAATGTTTATGGGAATTAAGAATTATCTAAAATAAGTAACTTCTTGATCAGCATTGCACGTGTTATTAAATTTACTGAAAGTAAATAAAAGAAACGTCTTATAACACTTAAAACATATATTTACGCTTATACCGTTACTCACAATACGGTAAATATACAAAAAAGATGGTAAGTGGTGATCGATTTCGATTGGACACTCCAATCATCATCAGACCCAATAGGAGAATGACAGGAATCCGGTAGCCAATAGGGTATAAGTAGGGACGCCATTCAAGATTCTTGTCATTCGCCTATTGGGTCTGATGATGATTGGAGTGTCCAATCGAAATCGATCACCACTTACCATCTTTTTTGTATATTTACCGTTTTGTGAGTGACATATGTTTTAAGTGTTATAAGACGTTTCTTTTATTTACTTTCCGCTAAAATAAGTGTAATTAATCCAAACGTTTTATTATTCTAAGATCTTATGACATAAGTTGACGTTTTCTTAGATATATTTTTAGCAAATGCGTAAAATATAAGTGGCACATATTTAAGGATTTCCTATATTAACTCCTTGGGAAAGGTTAGTTGGCATATTTCTATTGATTGGGTGTTATAAAAAATTGATACTTCAACAATCTGATTATTTGCCTATTTGTATTATATACATCTACTGATGAATACCACGATAAATTTATCTACTTCTACAAACTGATTCAAATATGACTAAAACTAAAGCAGTGTGAACTGCTTTGTATTGAACTCTACTTAAGGAGCCTGCTGTCATATTTTTTGTTACATATTATTGTAGGTCCTTTGATTTTCAATATTTCGATATTTAAAAAAAAAGGCTCAAAGGTTGGTAAAAAATACGTGTTTTTTTTTATAAGTTTTAACGCAAAAAATTATTTTGAGAGAAAAAAATATAACAAACAGGTGAAGTGCAATAAATTCTTAAAAACAATAATCTGCAGTTAGTTTACTAAAATGTTTAAGGATGACGATGTAATCCCCCAGATTCAAAAGGCTTGCAAGCACTCTTCATGGCCCTGTTCAGTGCAATGGTCTGCGTTAGCAACATCGTACTCAGAAATCAGAGCTGAGGTAGAGCGCACCCTTAAGATAATGAATGGAATCACACGCGTATCTTTAGGTTAGTAGTACGTAGTACCCTCAGAGGTATCGTGTTAAAATTGAAAGTGGACATTGGATTCCCGAAGTCTCAGGGTAAAATCTAGCATACCGTAATACAATTTACTTAAGTCATAATACCATGACCCCTTGGCCTAGTCTGAACTCATTAGGGATCGGTTCTGGACTAGATCCTATTGTCCTATTAAGGGGTAAAATCTAGCCTACCGTAAAAAATATTTAAGTCATAAAGCCATGAACCCTAGACATAGTCTGAAGTCATTTGTGAATCGGTTCCAGACTAGAGCCTTACCTTCCTATCATGGAATAAAACACTAATTTAAAAAGGTTACAGCCACAAAGCAGTAACAATCTGCTAAGTGACTTTGTTGACCATTTACCTATGTAGTTCCCTATGAGGGCAACGTAAAGAGCTTTTCTCCTGACATTGCTATATTTTTGAGGCAGTCGAGGAGCTGAGTCCCATCCGCGGCCCTCGTAGACAGTGCCATCAGAAGCAATTAGGAAACTAAAATCATAAATTACGAATCATTCTTCACCGTTCAGAAACTATGATGTATTGTAACTAGTTAATTATTATATAATCATGGTCTTCAGGCGACAACGTGGCGAAAATGAGGAAACACAACACTTGCCGACGCTTCAGCCACCATCATCAGGGCGAGTTGACTCCGCACAGATGACAAATCAATTTTTGACACTGTCGTCGGCCAAGACCACGATTCTACATGACCGTGGAAGCCTATCCAGGAATATAAGTAAATTATTTTTTGTTTTGTTTTCTCTGTTTAAATGTGTTTTTTTTTGTCACATACGATCGTAAAGAATTTGATATTCCAACATTATTAAAAAGTACTGTTGTTTCATTTCATTTATTTCCACGGCAAATAGCCAATTAGTACATGACAATTCAAAACTACTTGATTCTGTGCAACAAATTTCAAGCAGAGACAAAGAACAATATTTAACAATTAACAAAATACACAATATCAGATCAGTCTGTAACAATATCAGATAACAAATTTCAAGCAAAGACAAAGAACAATATTTAACAATTAACAAAATAAACAATATCAGACCAGTCAACGAGAAATATAAATACATGCAACACAATGCAAAAAACAATAACAAGAACAAAAACAGAACAATAAATACAATAAATTAATTTACAATGCAACAACAAACACTAGCAGGATCTAAAAACAGAAACAGTGAGTTTTTCAAACTAGGCGGCAACAATATGTAGTAAAGCAATGTGGACAATTAACATGTGGGAGAAAATACAGTTTTGACTAGAAATACTTAGGAAACAGATATGCACAATCAAACAATGCCTTATAATTTATAATATAATCAATTTACAAAGAAAACCATTAAATGCAGAAAAGAAACAGACAAATTAGAAATACATGATCAGAACATCAACCCGGGACAATGAGACCTATTGCACATCACTAAGAGCCACCGATCACTGAACACCATCACTAACTTGCGCCTCGAGCAGATATCTTTTAAAGATGGATGAGCTGCAGCAGAAGATGTCAAGATTTCCAGGTATTAGGTTCCCGTGCCTTTGAAGTCTCACAAGTGGACTGTTCCTTCCGTAATTTGAGGAAGCTGCTACCCTGGTGAAGAGGTTGGTGGAGCGAGTACCAGTGGGAACCCTGAAGTTGACCTTTTGGAGTAGTTCTGGGCAATCAAGCTCAGAGGTGACCAGACGTTGGAGGAATAGTACGTCGTGGTTGAAGCGACGGATTCCAGTGAAGGCAGCTTCAGGAGGGATTGCAGATAATCGATAGGAGCCTCAAGGAACCTGTATCCCAGGCGAGTACCCACGAGCCGTACAAATCTTCTTTGCACACTTTCCAGCTCGTCCTTCAGATATTGTTGGTGAGGGGACCAGATAGTGTCACAATATTCCAGGTGGGGTCTCACAAGGGAAAGAAATAGCAGGTTTAGCGAGTAGATGCTATTGAAGGTTGATGAGATTTGGTGAATTAGGCCGAGGTTGCGCAAGGCTTTGTTGCAGACAGAGTGGACTTGGCGATCCCAGCTGAGGTTTGGGGTGAGTAACACGCCGAGGTACACAATCTCCGAGCATCTAGCAAGCTCTTTGCCATCAATTGTATAGTTCCTCCGGACGGGGTTGGATATACGATGAAAGATGATATAATTGCATTTGCTGACATTTAAGGACATCTTGTTCCTAATGCACCACCTGGCTACAGAATCTAGACTAACCTGGAGAATGTAGAGGTCATCAATGAATGTAATTGTTTGGTAGAGCTTAGGATCATCAGCGAATAGTTGGAAGCTGCATTGAAGGTCTGTAGTGATATCGTTTATAAACGAGATAAATAGTATGGGACCAAGCAAGGTGGAACTCCCGAGGTAGCATAAAAGTGATGAGAAAGTGAACCGTTGTACCTGACTTGTAGGACTCTGTCTTGCAAATAGCTTTCGATCCATCGAATAAAACATCCTTCGCAAAATCGAGTTGGATTGCATCGACTTGGTGAAGATTGGCAAACGCATCAAAGATATCTGATGCAAAGATCATCAGGTTTGTGGAAGAGGAGCGGCCAGTCAAGAAGCCGTGCTGATTGGGGGAGACGAATGGCGAGATGATGGACTTGAATCTAGGCAGAACGACTGTCTCGAAGATCTTTGAGATGACTGAGAGAATCGCTATTGGACGATAGTTCTTGACGTCATTTATAGGTCCCTTTTTTATGAACTGGAATTATATGACTTGGTTTAAGGATGTCGGGAAAAATACCATTTGACAGAGACAGATTGAAGAGATTGGTAAGTGGGTGTTCCAGTAGGCAGCGGCAGTGCTTTACAACAGCCGGCGGGATGGAATCGGGACCGCAACCTTTGTGTGCATCAATGTTAAAAATTGCTTGGCGGACTTCATGCACTTGGATAGGGTAGAACGAGTGGGACCCCAATAATTGGGACACAGGGGTGAAGCAGTCAGGTGGTATGTAGCAAATAACTCGGCAGCTGACTGGTCACTATCGGAGAAAGTTCCATTTAGAGACATTGAGGTGGGGGTTGAGGTTGAGCTATTGAGGCTTTTTACATAGGACCAAAAAATCTTGGGGTTTTGTGGGGGACATCTTCCACGTGCGCAATGTAATTTGTAAAACAGGCTGTGGACAAGGCCTTGCATTGAGCTCTGGCGGCAGAAAAACGACAGTAGAAAGCTTCGTCCAGGTTCAACTTGTAGATCTTATGAAGACGTTTTTTTTTTCAATAGTTAAGAGCTTAAGCTCTTTAGTGAACCACGTGGGGAACCTGGAGGGTCCGCAGCTTTTCATCGGGGAGTTCTTCTCAACTGAATGTCTAATGGTGTTTATGAGCAGCTGGAACGATTCATTTACATCCCCAGCCGAGGCTATCGCATCGAGATTGGCCACGGACAGGTCTTCGAAGACACTCTGCAGGTTACACCTTCTTGTATTGAGTATAGATCTGCGTCTGACACTTAATGGGGGTGGCTGAGCAAAGACACAGTTTAGAGCTGGATGATGTCTGTCTTCAGGGATTAAAGGGTCTTCGTCACGAAGTACTAGAGCATTAGAAGATGAAGTGAAGATCAGATCGAGCAGGACGCCTCTGTAGTTAGTTATGGAATTGACTTGACAAAGAGAAAACATCGCCGCTAAGTTGGAGACAGCTGAGAGGGGAGAATTTGCTTCAGGCGCATGTTCGTTTTCCCAACTGGAAATGGGGATATTGAAATCTCCGAATATATGAATGAAGCTGAAGTTAGAGTTTGCCAAAACCTCTTCGATGTGGGTGGAGAGTTTGATGTAAGATTGAAGTGGTGAGCTGGGCGGGATATACACATTTATAAGAAGAGCTCGGCAGTGTGGACGAAGAGTTAAGGAAATGAAGAGAAATTCTAAGTCCACATCAGTACTAATTTTAGTTGGCTTCAGTGAATTGGATGCAGCAATGAGGACACCTCCACCACTAGACTTGCTGGAGGTTGATGGTGATCGGTCATTCCTAAAGACTGAGTAGGTGGGCGGGAAACCAAGCTCACCACAACGGAAAGATAGCAGGAGATTTGTCTCGGTGAAGGCGATAATATCGTGGGAACAAGAAGATAAAGATAAGCGAAGATCATGCAATTTAGACCTGAGCCCGTTTACATTCTGGTAATAAACTGAGTAGTTGGCCAGGTCAGTGGAAGAACTTAGTTTTTTGACATCGTTACTATTTTAGGAGTGCCATTTTGGTATTTTATCGTAAGATCTTTTTCCCCGTTTTTGGTTCTGGTTTGCAATATGTCACGAAGATTGTCGAGAAGTTTGCGCTCACTGGTAGTCCTATCCCTCGAGACTGTTACTTCAGATGACCCATTTGGGAGAAGATTTGCTGAAAATTTCTTGAAGAAGCTCTTCGTGGAATCCGCATTTGGAAGGATAACTTTCACTGGCCTTATAGTGTTTGGCGAGGGTTTGCCCAATCTGAAGAAAGTAAATTCGGATATTTAATACTTAATTGAGTTGAGGACACGGTTTATACTTTTGTTATGCATTATTCTAGCATTTTATGGGTCAAGTTACGCGTGTATAGTTGAATGTTTTGCAGTTCACGTATAAAATACTTGATTTATTTTTAATCTGTAAATCTCTACTTTACAGTAGCTTATATGGTAATATGGTCGTTTCTCGACCAACCACAGCCGCGGATCCGGTACCGGTACGTTAGTTAACAACCGTCAAGAAATATCACAACCTTTATGTGACATAACAGCTGTAATGTCACATGACCATTTTTAGGTTTGTAAGTTCTAGCAGGCCTTTTCTGCTGTACTGCACACTTTTAGGTTCTTTTTCTTGTTGTTTTGAAAATCATGCCCGTATGCTGGCCTGAGATGTGTACTCTATTCCTCTTATAGGTCCCAACAACAGCAGAAAATGCCTACAAGAACTTCCAAGCCTCCAACAAAATACAAAGACTTTGTTCTTTTAAAAAAAGGGCATGTGACATAACAGTTGTTGTGTATTAATAGTTTGTTATTGTTTATGTTTGTGTAAGTTGAATTTCTTTGAAAAAAAAAACATAACCTAACTGACATTTTACTTTAATTAAAAAAGTTAACATACTTTTTGTGTTAATTATGATGGTAAGAAAACATCTTGTGTGTATTACGAGCACAAAAAGTCATTGTGTACTTAATACACAAATAGCTAATTTAACTTCATAATAAGATGAGTTAATAAGTTGAGATACAGTTTCTACTATTTTATGTTGATGGATTGAGTTTTGTACAAAACCAAATCGTACCTGAAAATCAATTGTAAACAAATACACCCTTATTGTTTATACTAATTAATTTACTTACTTGTAACGTATGTCAGGATTGGATCTCAGCTTCAGATTGTATCGCTGAATAATTCTGATCATCTCCATACACTCCTCCCTATTAGTGCATTCGTCAGTGTTCGTATACTCGAAGAACACATGTTGCACGGGCAGTGCGAGAAACTTTACCCACAACGGGTCAACTGCTCCCCACTCATCTCTGCTGATAATCCTGAACCCAGGTCTCTCAATCCTTTGAGAGTGTTGGACATAATACATCTGTTATTATTGTCTGAAAATATATTTGAGTCAGATTTCTAAATAAATTACACAAACATTGGAATAGGTTATTAGCTATTTTCCCTGGCTGCAGTAGAAAACCAACACCTAATTCCTATAAGGATAACTAACCTTGAGGAAGACACTGTTATGTAGGCAATACAAAATTTACGCCATTGGACATAACGTGCTAAGCCCTATATTTTAATAAATCTGATTCTAGAAGGTTTTATAAGTGTGAATGTACTTTTTAAGCTACAGTTGAAATAAGATATTAAGTACCTGAGGGCCGAGCCATGGCTCGGTAGTTATTTTCATTATACCCCTATATCTAGTAATCTTCAGTTTAATCTTTGCTCAATAGTAACAACTGATGTTTTTCCTTTTGTACCGTATTTTGTAATTTACTAGTATTCCGTGGCCTTGAAGTAATGTGACAAACAATTCCAGGTCTGTGTCCAATAGTAGTAGAGGGGGTTTTTTAGTTAGTAGTCTGTGATAAATTCAGGAGACTCACACTACAGGCTGGCTACCTGTGGCGTAAAAGCATTTCCCCCCCTCTCCCTTAAAAAAAGTATACTGTGGATGGCTTGTTATAAACACATGTTACAAGTCATTTGTTTACTTTGTCAATGTTATTTTGTTCGGCCAACAAGGTTACTTGTTAACCCATAAGGCCAATGTTTAAAATCTTTGACTTCCAATTTTAATTTTTTACGTAATTAGATTTTTTTGCAGTTTTAACTGCAGTAAACACGTTTTTAGGCCAGAAATAAATTATTTACAACATTTGAAGGTAATCGTCGAAGCCTTTTAGATTATCCTTGTGCAAGCGTACAAGCATACATACAAGCAAACATTGCTCATATAAGAGTATAGGATAGGCTATATTCACATTTCCCCCAGTCAGTATCTAGAAAAATTGTTTGAACATTATAGGCTAAAGAAAATTATGAAAGTGTATAACGTAAAATAGCACAAAACAATATATGAGTAGTTTTGCCCAAATTAATCAGAGAAAATTCGTTTAAACTCTCATTCAACTCGTAAGTGTATGGTTAAAATGGCATGTTAATTCATATTTTGGTTGTACAACTTACCTTTTGAATGTACTCAATAGTAGTTTATGAGGAATAAAATGTCATTTCAATAAAATATAACTACGAATAACACTAATGATCCCCTGCGAGACGAATCTGAATAAATAATATATCATCTTTCTGGTTAACACATTGAGTTTACAAAATAGGCATATCTGTGAAAGAGCCAGAGTAACTCATGACGTCATGGACAAAGACAAAAAGTGTTATCTAAAAAGACGTTTAGTTATCAGCAGCTGATAAGTTTACATTTCTCACGGCTGTACTAGCTTGTATTTGGCATGGTATTGTGTATTTAAAAGGTCATACGTTCCAAGACAATAGTGCTTGATGACAGATTTGTAGTCAACAACTGAACATTTTAGTTTTCATACATTGGACAAACACACTCTGAAAATACTATTGATATTTAGTATCAAATAGTCACTCTGTTTTACAAAAAGTTTATATTAATTTAAAAAGTTATTAGTAAAAGTTATATATTTTTTTTAAATGCAGTGTTTTTGTTTTAAAATATGCATATGTATGTTTTAGATTTGTAATGAACATCTATGTTATAGAGTAACTATGTAAATCATAAAGACTTTTCTATAATTTTATTGACTTTCCACTCATAAAAACTCTTTTTTGTTACTTTTAAAAAGGGTATCTATAATGGAGTCAATAGTACAACTGTTTCACGCATAAGGGAACATACTGTTTAATAAAAACTTAAATTAATTTAGGGATTAAATAGGGAAATGGTTGAAAAAAACTTATATCTATTTGACAGTATACATATTTATTAACTCAATACAAATTCATACATGCTATATTTACACAAAATTGTAACACAAAGTAAAAAAATACGATATGTATATACAAAGATTAACAAAACAGCTAAATTTAGCTAATGCATTAATTCAATGACAATTCTTTAAAGTTGGTTCCGTACAAGATTACAGAACGAATGAAGATATTAAAATTAGTAGCAGTTCACAGCTACAGGCCTACACACAATTACATGTCGTAGCATTTATACCCGTTTTCAATTTCTATTTAGTATGCAAAAGTATACGATTGTGAGTATCTCAGTTCTTCTTTAACACAAATTCCAATACTTTTTGAGATATGTAGTCATTTTTCAATCCAAATTCAATTATCCTGTCTCTTGCATAGTACATCGTTCGAGGTGGATCGTCTCCTTAAAAAGTAAACACATTATGAATATTTTATAATTATAAATGCGGACCTATAATCGAGTTGGATAGTAGGGATACTTGACGGTTGTTCTTTTTATATTGATAAACAATAAATATCATCACAATATTATACTGAAAAGTTCTTAAAGTGAATTACGTTCCTAATTAGTGAGAACATAGTGTAAGTTTTACTAGATAAACAAAACTCTTGATCATAAATCATTTAAAAAGTATCTTTTGAACTGAAGCTACCAAGAAAACAAAATTTAGTATTGTGGAGGTTTTATAAGCTACCAAATTTTCAACACTAGCGTCTAAGGGTTCTGGTCTAAAACCGATGAGAACCTCTTCTGCAAAGGAGTGGGGGATTGTGGAGGAGCTCCTCATGTCAATTTAAGATTTTTTTTTTAATTAGTCATCTTAGGCATAAGAAAATAATCGAATGAAGGTTTACTAATTGAAAAAAATAGTACTGTTCATAAAATAAAATTATAATTGCCTTAAATTCCAACAAAAGATATACGTTTAAAAAGTAATCGCATTGTAAGCAAAGTATTTGACTAAAAGTTAGTGTCACCTGCGGGATTCGATCTGGTTACCTTATAAACATCAACCGATTACTCTATTCACTACACCATGAACACCGATTGCTAAACTTCGTATCGCTGCGGTAATGGTGTTCCCTCAAGAAAAGAGTGTGACGTTACTCCCCCCCCCCCCCACTCCTTCGCAAAAGAGGTTCTCATCGATTTGTGACCAGGATCTTGAGATGCTAGTAAAGTTCAACACTCAAACATCCCATAGAATAAGGAGGATTCTGAAGTGAGCACATCATTAAAGACCAAATGCAATAATGATCCTAGGAACCACAATTCTTATCGAGGGATCATTAAGTGTCATTACTATGTAAACATTGAATTTAAGTTCTTGAGAGCGAGCTGGTCTGGCGGTAGAGTGTAGTACTTCGATCCCCGAGGTCGTCAGTTCAAATCCCACGAATACCGAATGGATTTGATTCATTTAATTTCGTCACGAACCTCTAGGACTATCACAGAGTAACGTGTGAAATAGTTTTGGGTAAGAGTTTACCGATCCTGGAAATATTCTTAAGCTGCAAAATTATCCAAGGATTTCGGTGGTTTTTTTTAAAAAAAAGAAGCTTTAGGCACGAGTCGGCTTTAAAGCAATAAACCTATAGGAGGTGTAATAGGAGGTTAGCAGGCATAAAACAAAGTAATAGTAACTTACTAGTAAAATTACCCATGAAGCCAATGTAGATGCTTCTCTGTAGAAAATTTCTGTATTTAGTAGGAACCCCAGGACAATATATCCATCCTCTTCCTTCGATTATCTTACCATGGGCCGTTATCAAGAAACTAAAGATAAATATGAATTAAAAACTTATACATCTTAAAAACCTAAAACTACCTGCCTGACTTTTTGTTCTATAGCTTTACTTTGTTTAATAAAAATTATAGTTTCATAATCTAAACAAGTCAATATACAGTTTGTTAACAATATAATAAGAATGAGCGAGTGTAGTTAGTAATTTTATTAATTTTTTTATATATGTTATGGTATTTGTGTAATATTTACCGTCTGGGCTTAACTCTTTAAATACAAACTTCCACAAAATGCCAAACAAGTTACACATTCTCCAGTAATATACTTGGTTTTAGATGATTTTTTTTATCAAATGTCATGTTTCTTTTCGAAATAGAATAACTAGATTTATGGACAATTTCACTAGGGCTTTAGTTAAAACAAATACTGTTAAAGCACTATTAAGTTGATCTTTGATATGTAGGCTAATACACTTTAAAAACAATACTCATTTTACTGGTATACCTAGAAAATTGGATTCAGACATATCTTAGTGTAAATAAATAAAAAAGGGTGTTATAAAGCTTACTAAGAACCTTAAAAAGATAAACATCACCCCCACAAACGAGACCCCTTTACGAGACAAAGACATAATAAGAAATTGCACAATATATAAATTTAACCATAACAAAAATACCTTACTTGTACTTGATATCAGGCACCTTCCCAGATCGCATAGCTTCTTTCTGAAGAAACTTAACATCACGTAAGCATTTCTTTTCAGAAAAACAGGGCGAAACATGGGTATCGAATGTTGAAAACACGTAAATAGCTGGTGGGAGAAGAAATGTCGCCCATAATGCTCTCTCAGCCTGCCATTGGTCTCGAGTTATCAAACCCGAAATCATCTTGCACCCCTCTGGACTTCAAATCAACATTTGTAGAGCCTAAAGGAGTCATCATGGATGTAAAGCATCTCAACGATAAAATTCGGTTTGAGTGCGTTAGCCTATGAATCAATGGTCAGATTAATATAATGATTGTTAACAAATAAGATAAGGTTGAGGAGATAGAACTGTAGTTGTGCTATTTATAGTTTTATAAGTGATGAGAGTAGAGAATGTTCCAAATGCACAGTATATCTATTTTAACCTCTTTTGATTTATTTAAAGATCAGTGGGAAAATATCTACATAATATCTCTTCGAGAAAGTAAATTGTTTTGAAGTAGAAAGACTTTTATGCAGAGAGGAGGCTCGTTGTTAACGTTGTTCCTTAGTAGAATCACATTTTCTTGTTTCGAATCAAATAAAGACACGAATCAAAAATGCAATATTAAAATGTTAAATGTTTGGGATTGGTTTTTGAAAAAGCTAAAACTATGTTAGAGAATTAATAATAGTAAAAGTCCCTGTTATTGTATTGTTTATAAGTAATTTTAACATCAACTATTACTTTTGTTTGTGCACGTGGCTTAGGTTTAGACTTATAATTTGAGAAGGTTTTTATTATTTTATTTAATGCCAACGGTATTTGTTACTGTTTCTCTGTTAAGAAATTTAGTTTTGTTCTATGTAGAATTTAGGGTTGATAATAGTCTTCCGAAATGTATGATTTGTTTTTGATAATAAGCTTACAACTGCAGTGCTAACCATTCTTATTGGTGTAGGGGTGGTTCCCTTTGACTTTGGTTTCAATTTGAAGCTGATGTTCAATGACAACGGCGCCTTGACCCTTACCAAAGCTGGAGAAAACGCAATATAGGTAGGGGTGTCTGTCTATGGTAAGATGGACATTGTGACTTATGGAGATCCCCGAAGGTAAGTTGAACAAGAGTACGGGGAGAGAGATTTCTGTGTAAATCATTTCTTGCCAGAGACGCCTGCTTCGGAGCCTACCTTCAAAAAGGGGATAGTCAGCGAGCCTTAAATGTCAGTATGTAACTCCGATAACGATGATGTGCTGCCTATCTGATTCCATTAGGGAAGGTCAGAAGGGACTTTGAAACAGTTGCAGGCCAATTTCGCCAGACAAACACGTTCATCTGATCCCAAAACCCAAAATAGTCCATACCAGAATTTTGGAACACCTTTTCTTTATTTTCGAGGAGAGTGGTGAAAGATCAGAGGACTGAACAATTTTGATTCATCAGTGCAGCAAAGTCCGGTAGAACATCGCTGGAATTTCGAGCATACGAATTCACCCTCCTGAACTTGGTACATACAGCGTTTTCAAGAGGTTCTCTATTGCCTAGACGATAGCTTTTAGCAGTTGAACGTCGTACACATAAGTGTAAAATACACCTTACACCCTTTCGGTGTAAAATACATTTATATATCGTAAAAAACCTCAAATTAGCCCTAAAGGCTATGCACTGTGAAACAAAGACGATTAAAAAGGGAATAAGACGATGATGTTTAAAAAATTGCCGGAAAACAATAAATTTTCTAACCATAGAAGTTTTTGTTTACTTTCTTCTAATTAGGATATAACAATTATTAAGTCATGCGAAAATATGTGTATTCGTAACAACACCATTAAAACACAGCTTCCAAAACATAACAGATTTATACAACTTCAAACAGATTGTTAAAGTATTAACATGAATTTTTACAAATATACAAACATAATAAAGGTCTCACAGCTACCTATTTAAACTGTCAACATATATTTTCCAAAATTCTTATAAGTAATTTTCATGAGGTTAGTAATCAAATTTTATGTGACACTTTACATTCAATATTAACCTGAAATATTACCTAACGTAATATTAATGATTTTGTAATACTTTAATTTACATTGAGGGTTAGTATGAGAACAAATATAATGAAAAACAATTAAAATAAGGGGGTTCTCTGTTAATAAGAGTAGTAATTGCGCCAAAAAAAATTTTTTTTTAACGTTCATGCTTGTTATTAAGAAGCTACAAATACCAACATGCATTCATGTAAAATAAAACTTTGTCACCCATGATATATCATACAAACATATTTATTGAGCACAATCTACTTTAAAATAGTCTTGTGAATCAAAATTAAGTTACTATAGGCCAAAAAGGAAATTTATATTTATAGATTATTCCCAATCCGGTGAGAAGTCACCTTTTCTTTTGTGATTGCCTGAAACAAAAAAATATTACCGATAGTTACCTATGGCGAAAACGTTTGGAAAGTAACATAAAGGGAATAGAGTAGGGCTTATGCGGGGGAAATGAAGTTTAGGGAAAACAAGATTAGATAGAATTAGAAACACAGATTTAAGAAGAAGGAAAGTTAAAGACAGTTTGTGAGAACAAGTAGAAAAATCAAGATTGAGATAGTTTGTCCACTTAAGAAGAATGAGAAAAATTTGTGAGCTTCACATGAACGGAAGAAGACCAATAGGAAGACCTAGAAGAAGGTGGATTGGCAAGGTGAAAGGTGATGTGGAAGCAAGAGGAGTGCAATGGCAGTATGTGGAGGAAGAGGAATTGTGGAGGGACAGAAGAAGATGGAGAGGCCTAGTGAACACCCAGACCTGGAGATAACCAGATAGGGAGAGGATTTGTGTATGTATGTAAAATAATATTATATGAAACCATTATTGTATTATATAATTAAAGTAAAAGTGTCTTAAGAAAAAATTATCTCATTATCACTTTAAAACTTGAATAAATGTATAACAGTTAGGTTAGGTTAGGTGTACGGTAAAATAGTTTTTACAATAATGCAAAATATATTTTTTTTTTTACTTGTACATGTATAAAAACGATTAAACATATTTTAGGTTGTAAGTTTTTTTCACAAACAAATTACTAAGCTCAAAACCATTAGGAATTGACTTTTGTGAAATAGGGCTCATAAATATTAGTTAAAATAATATTACCTTGCTTTATGAAGAAAACTCTAAGTATATGACTGATATGTCTCCGCTCCATCCCTATGTGCATCAAATTCCTTCGGACGTCCACAACATTCTTCGGTGGAGTAATTTCTTTTGCTTCAATTGCACCTAGACAATAAATGGTTTTAGTTGTTAAAATCCCATGCTCAATCATATGCTTAGTGTTACTGTTGCACTTAGATCTCATCCGTTTCAGCTAGCTATTTACATGATTAATATTTCGTATCATACATCAACTATAGTTTAATTTACTAATTTTAATCATCCTTACCAATATAATATTTTCTAAAAGAGTTTTTAATCGATGAATTAGTAAAACCTTAAAAAGAAAAGGAAAACAGCAAAATATCCATAATGGTATAAATTTATTTAAAAGATGACTAAAAATATATCTATATATATTTTGTATCAGCGGATAAAGAAAATATAACTTAAATAGGTTTTTATAGTTCTAAATCACAGTTCATTGCATATTTCTCCTGAATTGTGACTTTGGAATAGCACGGACTTTATTATAGATTTTATTGACGAACATCTACGTCATATTGTTGGAAAATTACCTTGATGAACAACCATAAACGATGTATATACAAAGTACAATGTTGGACATTAACGTAGGATTGTTAGGGTAGTTAATAATAGTAAAGATCTGTCATGTTAGGCCCCGGCCACGCGAGGCGAATTTAAGCCGCGCGGCTTATCTTCGCGCGAAGTTAAGCCGCGCAAGTGCCTGGCCACATGGGGCGGATGAACCGCTTCCTGTTGGGTTTTCTTAGTATCAGTACTCTATTAAAACATAGTTCAGTTCACTCTTTTTAGTAGTCATTGACGAAAAACTAATGTTAGTTTGCGCATTAAAAGCGTGTGGTGATCTGGAACCAAATGTTAACCGAAATAATTGTGTCCATCTCTTCATAACGAAAAACCAATTGAGTTTCAAACCTTTTACGACCACATGTGAAACCATAGTTCGGTGTTTTTTAAACATTGTTCAAACACCACACAACCGGTTACAAACACACAAAATACAAACTCAAAAACCACTGGAAATGTCCGAAGAATATCTCCAATAAGCGCGGCTGCCACGCGGTCGAACCGTATCGTGTGGCCACTCTCATAAGACTACATGTGTCATCCCCTCCAACGCGGCTTAACTTCGCGCGAAGATAAGCCGCGCGGCTTAAATTCGCCTCGTGTGGCCGGGGCCTTAGGAGGCATAGATTAAATAAACTATTTATATTCGGTGTAAAGTTAAGCATCTTCTTACGTGTATTGGGTAATTTTGCCCCGTACCCTTATCTTTTTAAAATACATACTGTCTTTCCGTCCCATATTTATAAATATTAACATAAAACTTACTTGTAAATTTACCAATCCAACCAATGAATACACACATGTGTTTTATTTTCCAATATTTATCTGGAAGTGTTGGTTGTAACATCCACCCTCTTCCCTCGTAGACCATGCCATCGTATCCAACAACAAAACTGAAAATATCAAAAACCACTTTTAGGATAGGCAAAACAAAGTACATCAGAGCCTAATTTAGGTTCTAACCTTGAGAAAATGTAAAAAATATATGTTTCAAATACTTGTTAAACATGCATAAAAAAATAATAATAAACCACGTTTGACTACATGTATTCAAAAATAGAGCTATCTAGGCTACAAGAAATAATATTTTACGAAATGTAATTGATTTATATCGTAGTTTCATCCCACAAAGACCCTTATCAAGAAACATATTTATGACTAAATGGGAAATTACATAAAAGTACGTATAACATAATTAAAATACATACAATCTTTAAGACGACAAATATAACTAAAATGTAATAAATATCTCCTACTGGATTGGTATTTTAATTTATTCAAAAATGTTATCACAATAATAATTAATAATAAATTAATTCAATAATTAAACATGTATTAACATTAAAATTTATATTGTATTAATATATATTGACATGTCTAGCTGTAAGTACATTCTCGCAGTTAAGTACTGATTAACTAGTACATGATCGTAGACATGTCAATAATAAATAATTTCACTATAAAACGAGTTTGAAATTTATCTTTATAACTTAGGTTTATTATGATGTAAATTTACCTATAATTTTCTATGTCAGATTTTTATTTATCTGGTTTCAGTTTTGGTTATCATAAATTAGTTTTAAGTATATACTGGATCCCATCCGTAAGTAAAGTGAAAAATAGGTTTAATTAGTCATAAAAAAGTTAAATTAGAATGATAATCATTCCGGTAAAATATTATAATATGTGTCAGAACATTCAAAAAAATTTAAGGTACCGGTGTCTACAAACTGTAGCAAAGAATTGATAAAATACCCCCGCTGACGTAAAGCTGCATACTAAGCGAATTTCCATTTGTCTGAATTGATATACAATTAAATCCATTTATATAACAATAGGTTAAACAAGTACCTAGGTTTGCTGCTACAGGGAGGCTAATAAAGTATGATTCGGTAAAATGTTAATAGCATTGTATAATATAAATACATTTGCCAAGTTTGGTCAAAATATTTCAATAAATAAGAAAACTACAACCTTATACAATATTCTCCATAAGAATAACATAGGGATTTTAAATTTACTTTTTTTAATTTCTCCGTAACCAATAACACCACAAAAACACTTTTTGTATTTTTGTTTTTTCCTTATATTCTCTTTAAAATGGTCTAGAGATAAATTGGGAAATGATGTGTTTTGATGGTCAAAAATGAGAAAACCCCATTGTACCTCATAAAACTCCCCGTAAAACCACGTTCCCATCGTCCGATCATGCTGGCTCACGAACAAAGTCAAGTTAATCCCGCCTTAACACCTTCAAACCAAATTTAATCAAAATCGAACAAAAGCTACTCAAGCTATCGCCACTGGGAAAATCAAAATGAAAAATCAAATTGGTATCAAATTGGCTCAAGTCTTACCATAAGACCTACGGTAATAACTACTTTCCTATAGGGAAATTTGTTAAAGGCAAATATGAAATTATTATTATTAATTTCTCCCCTTGGAACATATTACCTTACTTTTTGTATTCACTTACAGGGCATAATATGGATCTAAATGGCACGTAACCATTCAAACATCAAACAATCATCGAGGTTCATACTTGTATTTAATGTCTGGACAGTCCTTGTCAGCCATGTGGTTTTTTTGCATCTTCCTCATGATGTCATTCAAGGAGCCGTCGTTGGGCTGATAACAAGGCCGTCTGGCAGCGTACTCTACCACATAGTGGTGGACTGGCTGATGTTGCATATCGTGGGTGAATTTAGCAGGCTTCGCCCCCCACTCCTCTCTAGTGACAAGGTGAAGGGGCAGAGTCACCTGTGGTCTATTGAACATGGCTGCCTTCAAATGTGGGTTTGATCTAGGGAAAAATATGCTCTAGAGTAAATAAAGTTTACAATATTTTTTGCAATTATTTAACAGCTGTATATGTATGGATAAATCTTAGTAATGCTATAGATACAAAATTTCAATACAGAAATGAGCTTCAGTTTTCAAATGTATATTTTACCATTCTTCGATAACCTCAAGGTACTAGGTATTTATTGTTATGTGGTCACCGACCATAGGCCTAGTTTTTTTTTATTATTTAATAGCTGTAAATATACCAGAAGAGATTAAGTTTTCGTCAGGTACAGAGAAGTCTTTAGGATAATTTCAGGAGTAGTGAATCAGCAAGAACATCTTAGACCACTTTTCAAACAGTTGGGGGATGACTGTCCCCTGTCAGCTTTCCGGTTGTGGTGTAAAGAGAGAGAACATGAGGTGGAGGCTAGATGTGATATACATCGGTACAACACAAGAATAAGAATATTGCCTAAATGTCTGGAGATCCAATTAACAATTGTTTATTAACAATTAATAAACAACTAAAGGTCACTGACCATTAGCCCATTATGTCATAATTCCTAAGTTTTTTATTCCGAAATAACGAATAATACATTGTACTGGAAAGTCATTACAATAAACAATAGTGAAAACTAAGAACTGAAACTTGAAAACTGAACTTTCTTGGTCAGGGTAATTGGATGTACAAAGACTACTAACTAAACAATTTAAATTTTGGTTAGATTACAGTATTTACAATTGTTTAAGTGAATACGCATATTAAAGGCTTAATTCATAAATCTTAACAGAATTAATCTTTGATGAAAAACAACTGGGATTGTTGTATATAATATTAAGAGGACATTTAGTATCCCATCCTCACTAAAGAAGGTGCCTAGAACAAATTGCATACAAAAATACACACACTGTATTATTAACTCTGAAAAACATTTTATAAGTCATGAACTATGATATATTATTTGGTGTTTTCGAAATATAAAATAGATAAATTTAACAGAAAACCCATCAATTATTGTTCTCTACATAAAATAAAGAAAATAGATCGTCATTTTCTTTATATAATATGACAACAAAATAGTACAGCAAATTCAGTAAAACGAATGAAACGTGAAATAACTTCATTATTAAAAGTTATTGGCTCTGTTATAGCCTGTATCACAACCAATAACGTACATTGGTTTTAGAACTGTTAATCAATCCTACAATAAAAACATTAGGTAATTTAATGATGGTAGATTTAATGGGTTGGCATTTCAGTAAAATACTGAATGTTTTGCATTTTTCAGGCAATACAGTTTAATAAAATATCAGTATAGGCTTCTTCCAAGTCAGTAAGGGTTGTTAAGGACTTGATTTTTTTTTTTTTTTTTGTATAAAGTTATATTAACTTACAAATGTTTAAATATAATGTCATACACGTTACATGCCTATGACAATATAATTATGAAGAGTTAGTTATACTTGCCTTTAAACAAATATCAGTCCTCACTCAAGATAACCACTGGACGCCACTATCTACATCTGGTTAAAAACCATTGAACCCTGAATATGAACCAATGAACTCTTATCAAGATATAAGAGTGTTCTATATAAGAGTTAAATATAGAAACTACGTCATTCGTTGGGATTGTTTAAAAGTAAACAACTCGTTAACCTTTGATTTCCAACTCAAAATATTACTATCGATAATTATTATGCGATATTTAGCTTATACAAAATTTTTATATTATATTTTATGTATTTTTTTTCGTATAAAAATTAATATTTTATAATAAACGATAGTTAAGTCTATGTAAACGTTTCGTTTGATATCATTATATTTTGCTGATTACTAAAAGTATCAACCTCTAAGTAAAATCGAAAACTAAAAAACCACGCCTTAACATACTTTTTAAAATAATAAATTAAAATGTTGTTGGCTGTCAAATTGCTCACTTATTAATTAGATGATTAGCAGTACCGGTTCTAAGAATAATTCTTGGGTTATTTCTATGCTAAAAGTAAAATCAAATGTACCCAATAATTAGGACTAATAAATGGGCCTGCCTGAAGACAAGCTGGTCTAGTTCAAAAATACAGCTTGGACATTCAAAATACTTCTTAACTTAATGCCAGCTTAAATTTGCAATATGGTCTTGTTAGCTTGGCATATTTAAGAATTCAATAGGCAATGGTTTATAGTCTTGTTGTTTTCAGGTTGTCAAATAAAAACATGAATCTTATTGCATATTAAATATAGAGCTTTATTCTTGACAAGATGTTATTCTCTATATAGTCTTAAGAGTAAATAAAGGAGAGCTCATAAACAGTACCAAACAATTTCTAAAATTAATCTTTACTTCAAGAAATAAAATCTCGTTACAAAGATGGGTCGAACTTAATGTGCTTGATATTGATTAGTAGGTATAACTCACTAGTAAATTTAACATTTTGTAGTCAATATCTGACGTTTACCTTTTAAACTAAATAAAATGAATAAATTTTTTGAACCATGCAAAGACGAGGTATTTTTATTAAACCAATACAAAAGGTAAATACAAGTACTATTTTGTTCCATTTAAGATATTTTTCGTAATGCATTTTTCCTTTGATTAAATATACGAATATAAATATGTATGATAAATATATTATAATAAATATAAACAAATATCTAACGCATTTTGAAATTAAAATTCATATTACTGGCTTTTTACATTTGAAAGCTTAAATCGTGTAACCAATAAGGTTTGGTCTTGGTAAAATTTGTTTTAGCATAATTTTAATTTAACAATAAAACGTATTTCTAATACAATATAGGTATGGACTTTATCTGCTGTTATATTTCAGATTTGTTATGGTTTGCATAATTCACTAATTTTTTAAATTAATGATAATTTTAGTTTAAGCATTGAGTAGTTAAAGACATATACTATTATTTTATAAAAGAAAAATTGGTTCAGCTTTCTAAAATAAATAGTATTGACATTAAAAGTTCTAGATCTATTTCGTCCAAAGAAAATTGTAGTTTACGCAAAAATGTTCTAGCATCATACACTGTTAAAACTACAAATTTACCAACCAAACGTTTGTACTTATTGCTTAAAAACCAACTTTCCATAAGAAACAAATGTTTAAAATACAACAAAATCGAATCATCTGTCAACATATTGATGTTGAAAGCTCGAATTTCCATTTCCCCTTAAAACTGATGACACATTCGTTGCTGAATTCCCTGTTTTGTCCAGAAAGATCTCATTGTAGTCCTTTGACAGATATTTGTGTTCTACTCCGTACTCCAACAGCCATCGGTAAGTACCAATCATTTCCTCAGTAGGGGGCTCATCTTAAAATAAATAGTTTTGTGAATAAGTATTTTCAAGACCATATTCCTGAACATAAAACATTTACAAGGCAATAAAGTATGTAAGTAGCAAGAGCCCATGACTGCCAGACTTTCGTCATTTTATAAAAGCTGAAAGTTTCTCAGCTAATGCTCCCAGTTCACTTAAGAATGATAGGCAACTATGACATTTGAATTTTGGTTACTTTGGTAAAAAAAAGGTAACAAAGGTCAGAAATTTGCAAATAACCATCGTTATAGTATAAAGCTTGGTTCTTTCATATTTTCTTCAGAGGAATGTTAGAAATCATTTCCCCCATTGCCAGACACTTTGTGCGGTTTAAACCCTCTGCCAGACACCCTTAAAAACTAGGTATGACGAAGATTAATTTTCGTCATTTTATAAAAGCTGAGATTGATATATGTTATTTGGGGAGCTATCAAAAGACGTTTTCTCAAAAGCCAGACACTTTCGTTGGTAACTTTATCTAGCCAGACACTTTAAAGTCTGCCATAATAAGCTTAACTGTTAGATGCAAACAGCGAATTCAGTTCCAGTTTGGAACAGATCTCTGTGCCAAATGTAAACGGTTAAATTACTTACTTTCTTCCTCAGAGTCTGTTTTTATAATAAACCATATGTTTGATGTAAACATATGTTATATTTGCATTTAATTGTGTGTTTATTTCTGCAGTGTTTTGAAAATATGTAATTATGTTCTAAAACCATTGGGCACAGAAAACTATTCCAAACTGTAACAGAAGTCACTGTTCGTATGTAGCAGTTAGCCCACAACTACCTATTATATTACAACAGACTTTTAATGTGTCTGGCCAGATGAAATAACCAACGAAAGTGTCTGGCTCTTCAGGAAATGTCTCTTCATAGCTTCCTAAGTAACATATATCAAATTCAGCTTTTATACTGTGATATAAATTAACGCAATTACGATTAGAAATAAGTTGTGATTTCACCGTTTACATTTGGCACAGAGATCTGTTCCAAACTGGAACTGAATTCGCTGTTTGCATCTAACAGTTAAGCTTATTATGGCAGACTTTAAAGTGTCTGGCTAGATAAAGTTACCAACGAAAGTGTCTGGCTTTTGAGAAAACGTCTTTTGATAGCTCCCCAAATAACATATATCAATCTCAGCTTTTATAAAATGACGAAAATTAATCTTCGTCATACCTAGTTTTTAAGGGTGTCTGGCAGAGGGTTTAAACCGCACAAAGTGTCTGGCAATGGGGGAAATGATTTCTAACATTCCTCTGAAGAAAATATGAAAGAACCAAGCTTTATACTATAACGATGGTTATTTGCAAATTTCTGACCTTTGTTACCTTTTTGTTGCCAAAGTAACCAAAATCCAAATGTCATAGTTGCCACTCTTTCCTGAACTGGGAGCATTTGCTGAGAAACTTTCAGCTTTTATAAAATGACGAAGGTCTGGCAGTCATGGGCTCTTGGGCTATTAACTTTATACTTCAGTCCCGTATGGATGGAAATGGACTTTGGATTTTAATATTTTCAATCATAAAGAAAAATATGCCGTATTCGTCCTTTACTGAAATGATAATTAATTTATGTGTTTAACAACTAAAAGACATGCTTTAACTTGCAAGACCTGGCACTTCGTGTGTTCTTGTTCAAAACGAAATGTCTAACAATAAAAGTATTTGTAGTTATTAATTTTTATTACAAAATTGACCAACATCGTGACTATTTCTTTAACTTTTAAGTCGATAACAAAAGAATATAAAATTAAATTACAGAGTACCCGAGTTTATAATTATATGTTACCCTTATGGCTTATATAAACTCTACAAATGATCAGTAAAAATTACTTGAATTTTATCCAGTTTTATTACCTAATAGTTTGTATTCATTTTATTTTATTTTTGATAACATATTATTGAACATGGTAAATTTTTACCAAATATTTTAATTATTAATTAGAATGTTGAACTGAAGTAGGATTTTATGAAACGCACCATCAAATCGGCCCATAAATGCCACGTAAATGCAGTCATCAACATCAAGTCGAAACTTGTCTGGGATTGAAGGTTTGATATTCCAACTTCTACACTCATATACTGCAGCATCTCCACCTATTAGGAAACTGGTAAAAAGTGGAAAAAAAATGTAATACAATATAGTAAAACTAACTTAACATTTTAGCAGTAGTGAACCAAATATAAAATAAACACTAAGTAGAAAGACTCAGAACTAAAGCACTAAGTAAAAAAACACTTGAGGCAAATTTAAAAAGGTTATAGTATGTTTGTGTTCAAATGACTGAACACCATGATAACTGAATACAAATAGTTTACGAATATTCAAATCTTTAATTTATGCCAAAACATTCATAGAATATTCATACCAAATGGGTAGGCATAGGTGGAAGTTTATTATAAGCCTGTTACCCGGGAAAATTGAAGGATTGAGTGAATTAAAATTCTTTATTTGAAAATAATTGTATGTTAAACTTATAGTCTAATATAAATATGCATATCTCTTATAGGTAGACTGTTTCTATTTGCCAATAAATGGCATAGATAAAAATCATTGTAGCAAACCATCGAATAAAACTCATATAACTATCGATGTCACATTGATTTAAAAATGCGCATCATCTAAATACTAGGTGATACAATTGAAATTAAGTGCAAAGCTATACACAAAAATTTAGCTTACATGCATATTGTTCTAGTTTTTCATATTCTAAACGGTCCTAGATTCAGCTACACAAACAAACCCGTTAATCTTCATTTATTGAATATCAGTGAACTTTATATTTTACTGTCAGATTCAAAAGAAAAATAAATGTATGTGTGATTTAAGAGGTGTGTTGTTTTATGTCTGATGTCAATTAGACAGTCTTTTCTTAAAGATTTTCACTTAATCATTAATATAATTCTTAGTATCAGAGTAACATTTTATAAGAAACGTGGTACGGTAATTATTTTAGTAAGGTTGTAGTTACTTATTAACAATATTTATACATGATATTCTACTCTTTGACACGTTATTAAAACTAATTAACAATATATATTAATCGGTTCGTAACCATTCAAACATAGGAAAACAGCTCATTTTACGGTATTATGTTTATGATACATGTTACAGTGTAAATAAAAATAAAAAATAAATTCATTCCAGTCATATTAAAACTAAAGGTCCTTAGAATAGTATTGTCAAGTCCAACAGGAAATTAATATACCTTTAGAGTATGCAAACACACCATTATAATCATCGTAATAGGTATATTGCATTTACATTTTTTATTCTCTAAATCCAATGCAAACATTGGTGTTGGTTTAATAGTGGAATAAGCAGGTATAGTGATAGAACGCTGGGTTTAGGTGTCCAAGATTACGGGTTCAAATACAACCAGTCAAGAATATCTATTCGATATCGCTGTGACCATCCAAGCCTAGCCTGGAGTATTGTTGAGGACAGTTCCGTGCTAGAGCCTCATATTCTAGGATCAATTACGGTCAAACACAACAACTACTTTTATATAATCAAGAAAAAAAACTTACTTAAAACGTATGTCTCCCAGGCTACGCCCAAAGATGTGACATTTCTGTGTCCATTTGATTTCTCTCTTGCACTCTTGGTGGTCGAAGCAAGGGTCCTTCAGGGTATAACCTACAACTACAGATGCCACAGGACAAGCCATCGGCTGTAGGAGAGCCTGCACTGGGTCATGGCGTCTCCATTCCTTTCCGGTCACGAATATAACTTTATTCCCTCCTGCGCAGCGGAACGTTTCACATAGAATATTTGTTTTGGTTTGAAAAAATTGCAGTATATTACATTAAATTGAGCATGTAATGCACAAAAGAACGTAAATTAGTTGTAGTGTTAATGATTCTTACATGAAAAAATAACATAAAACAAAAAACCTAAAGAAAAAAAAACAACTATAAAAGTTTTGAAAATAGTTGGTAGTTAAATTGCTATAATAAATATGAGTGAAACTTTATTTACCGCCAACACCTTAAAAATGAATATAAATGATATCTTCGTTGCCGTAACAGCTTAGTTTCTTTACTAATTTACAAATATTGTTGACAAAAACAAACTATTACAGTAAGTATATTAATAAAGGATAACGCACCCATGAAAATAAAGCTTACATGCATTGAACCATTTCACATGGATACAAAATGTTTTAACATTGTATGATTTTTATGAATGAAGTATAAAAAACATTTTATCGTACAACTTACCGGGAAAATATTTACAAAATCCGTGTAGTATGTTTTTTTGCATATTTAAAATATTATCTATATCCGGTGCACTATCGTTTAACATAGGAATTTAATGACCCGTAGAAAAAAATAGCTTTCGGAATTCCAATGCATTTTTCTATAAGTATTCGAGGTGTTTAACATAGACATAGGTGTTTAACATAGGAGTGGTAACATAAATTGTTTCGTTTACACATTTTTAGTTTACTTAATTAGTTTTTCAATTTTACTATAATATTACATTTTGACAATGGCTGAAACAGTCTTTTTCAAATGTAGTGGGATTTAATGTATATTTAAACTTAAAGATAACTTTCTTACCTTAAAATGAAAGATGTATTACATGGGTTATAAATAGCCTTATTTTATTAAGGCAATAGTAAAAACATCTCAGATTGTATTTGAAATAGACACCATTTGAGATTACTACACTGTTCGACAATTGCACGTAATACTTAGGTTAAAGATCATTGAATTACTACTTTAAAGACAATTAGATAACCACAACATTTATGCAGCTTTCCTTACGTTTAAGACATCAATGAAGTTTAAAATGTATTAAAATGTAGTCATTACCAAATGCTCATTCAGTTCACACTCAAACAATAATCCATCAACTAAAATAACGTTTCAATTTACCATATTTTAGTCAAAGATTTTAATTTTTGTATATACATGAATCTTTATTTGCAATAAATTTAATTTTTACTAAGGAAAATGAGCCAATACCAATCATTCGATTTTAAACTGTATGTATACAGTAAAAAAATTATACAATCATTTATTCTATTTAAAATAAAATGTACGCAGAATCTTAACAACTTACAAATTCCTTACGCTGTAAATTGTTAAATTTTATGTTTATATTGTCCAATCAACAGTTAATCCAACGCAAAAATTTACTGTTGTATGTTTTCTGACAAATCTTCCGTTTGATTTTTGTACCAGAAAAACGTACTTTTTATGTCGAAACCCTTAAAAATATCCTTGTTTAGTTCATCTAAACACTTCCTCGGGACTTATAGCTGGCAAGCTGAACTGGGTGTGTTTAGGTAATATGTAACCGTTCTTTATTCCATAACGAACAAGCTCTTCCCTCGTTTCAAACATGATAGTTGGCACCTCTGTTTCTGAAATTAGTTGTAAACATGTTAACTTACAAACTATGAACTTGCTTGAGTACCAAAGAATCATCATATACGTAATATATTACCTATTTACTTTTAATTTGATGGTGGGATCTTTTGATCATTAACCAAATATGACGCTAAATTGTTTCATGATTACGTCCAGCTTTATTAAGTTTATCCCTAAAAAAACAAAGGTTATTTCTCTTCTGATGCAGGAAAAAAAGATTTGTATAATTATACGTACAAGTTTTGATGAGATTTTAAATAGATAGGATTACAAATGCCTGGAAACTGTTCAGTTTTGAAGAAAGCAAATATACATTCCTTGGAAAAGTAACATGATTGCAATTCATGGTAGAAATAAATTAATTTATAAGCTTAATATATTAAATACTTAGTAACCTAGTGTAATTATTTAATTTCAATGGTAGTAAAATTTTCTAATAATGTTTCCTCTGTAAACGAACAAATTACAAGTTTCTAGCTCAAAACCACCTTTCTTAACTTATTCACAATGCTTAGTTCTTTTGCCATTAATATCTGATAGCAAAAGAGATTTTTACAAATTATCATATGTTATACTAAATTCTAAGCTACATTTTCCACGCTACTCAAGCGGATATGTGGTACTTTATACCTAAAGTTAGAAAAATGTTTGCAAATAAAATAACTGAGTGGCAATTCATCAATGTCTTAGATCATAGATCAAAGATTATACTGGGTTACATTTCGAAAATAATAAATAAAATCTCCGAAATTATTAATTGTTATTTGTATTGTATTTTAACTATAGTTATCGTAACCAACATTTTAAAAGTAATAGTATTTAGTTAATTTGTTTTTCTATATTTTAAATAGCATTGTAGAAACACTGAATATTGTTTGCCCAACAAAACAACCTACAGTGATATTGTAAAATACTATTCCTACATGGAATTACATTGTTTTAAATTCAATACTTCTTGTAGGAGCTTTCATAGTCCTTATAATACTAAGACTCAGTTCTACACTTGTCTTACCTAGAAAGGTGCCAATGAAGGCAACAAGAAGGCTTATACCATTCAACCTGTTGTGCCTCCTAGGTAGTGCCGGTCTGACGTTCCACCCACGGCCTTCGTAAACGTTTCCGTCCCCACCAATCATGAAACTTAAACATCATACAAAGTTTATGTCGTCCATCATCCATCATACAAAGTTTATGTCGTCTATCATCCATCATCCATCATCCATCATAACAAGTTTATGTCATCCATCATCCATCATTCATCATCCATCATACAAAGTTGATGTCATCCATAATCCATCATAACAAGTTTATGTCATCCATCATCCATCATACAATGTTTATGTCATCTATCATACATCATACAAAGTTTATGTCATCTATCTCCCATCATACAAAGTTTATGTCATCTATCATCCGTCATAAACAGTTTATGTCATCTATCATCCATCATCAATCATACGAAGTGTATGTCATCCATCATCCATCATACAAAGTTTATGTCATCTATAGTCCATCATACACAGTTTATGTCATCTGTCATCCATCATACAAAGGTTATGTCATGTATCATCCATCATACAAAGTTTATGTCCTATATCATCCATCATACAAAGTTTATGTCATCTATCATCCATCATACAAATTTATGTCATCTGTCATCCATCATACAAAGGTTATGTCATGTGTCATCCATCATACAAAGTTTATGTCATCTATCATTCATCATACACAGTTTATGTCATCTAGCATCCATCATCAATCATACAAAGTTTATGTCATCTATCTTCCTTCATACAAAGTTTATGTCATATTTCATCCATCATACAAAGTTAACGTCATCCATCATCCATCATACAAAGTTTATGTCATCCATCATCCATCATACAAAGTTTATGTCATCCATCATCCATCATAACAAAGTGTATGTCATCTATCATCCATCATAACAAAGTGTATGTCATCTATCATCCATCATCACTATGTTATACATAGTGGCATCCATCATACAAAGTTTATCCTTTTAGAATTTTGCCATTTAGGATAATCAACACGTTTTGGTCCTTCAAACTTAGGCTGATAGGCTAATACTTTGATTATAGTATTAAAAGCTATCATAAATTTTTTAAATACAGTACTGTGATTTAAATTTTCCGGAAGGAGAAACTGATTACTTTTAAACTAAGTTTTTAAGGGGTGAAAAGTTCGATGTATATTTGAATCAAAACATGCAAATTACTTGCTTCCGAGAACAAATTATGTACACATCATTATTTAAGTTACCAAATTATGTTATAAGTAATCATGAGAGAACACTTGTCACTAAACAAAAAAGTTAAGTAAAATATTTCATTACTAAAGGCCGTACTTTGAGGTACGGTTGCGCGAGAACGAAAACAAAAACAGTCCCATATTTTAGTTGGAACTAATTTTTGGTTGATATAACATTTACCTATTTAACTATTGCTGTGTGTTTAGCCATGGAAATATAACTGTTTTATGTAACAACTAAACAGATGTTTAGTTATTTGTCTGACCAGAGTAATGGTCCACTACCCTAATTTTACTGGGGCTTTTGTATTTTAATAGCCTTATATTCCAAATGTTTTTCTTTTCAAAACTTAATCTTAAGAAATAAATTTGACCATATCAATAAAAGTTGTATTATTGTTTTACAGCTAAACCAGCACTTTGTTGTTCAGGTATCTTGTTTCGAAGAGGTTTGCTAATAATTCTATTAATATCAGTATCAATAGTGTAAATTATTAATCCTTTTGCTTAAAGCTCAGTGCCACGTAAAATACATTACGCTCACTACCAAGACAACATATGTATAATCTCACTTACTAGTTCAATTATATTTAGTTTCAAACAACATTCATGCATGGCCTCTGGCAACTACTAACATTTTAGTCAAATGTAAATAATACATCACTAAAACAAAACAAAGCTCTTTAGATGTACATTACTTAAAGCGCACATCCGGACACCCCGATGAGCTGCGTTTGGTGTGAAGATTGTGGATGTACTTTGCTTGTCCGATACACAGAAAGCCATCAAAACATGGCCTGGTGTTGGAGTTGACGAAGAACACGTATTCACTCGGACCAACACTAGGAACTCTCCATTTGGCCTCAACTTTACCCCAAGTTTGCCCCGAAACTATCTTGAGAGGCATGGCTTTTAACCATATAAATCTCATATTAGTTATACATACTACATTCATATTTATTTGGAATATAGCCTAAACAATTGGATATGCAACGAGTAGACTTCCCATCCAATGTAAAAAGTTGAAGCCAAAAAAAAGAATCAATGTCTGTTGCGATGGTACATCAACGAATGACAATATATTGTGTCCAAGTGATACATTAATCAGCTGTTAGGATAGTTTTTTATTAATATTTTTTTACTCGGTACTTTGGTATCATATTGACCAAACCTAAATTGGTTACCCGTAGGTTAGGTTTTATGTTCCGGTTATATTATCCTAATCTTACCTAACCTAGGTGTTGTAACCAAACCAAACTTAGGTGTGGTCGGTATAATACCAAAGTAACTTTGACCGAATAAACTAGTACCCTCTGGTGAGATGGTCTTGAACTTCATCTATTTTCATGGTTTCTAATATTTTCTTGATATTGGATAGGAAGTCTCATATTTTCAGGCTTAAGTACGATTTATCTAAATTAACTTTTATTACTTTTTATTTTATTATCATTATCATTATTTTTGTGAGGTGGGAACACCATATAAGTGCGTATTTTAACCCGAATATGAGTGAAGGATGAGTGTAGAAGGTTCTGAGATGATCTGTTTAGCTTTGTTACTTAATGAATCAGCTGTTTCATCAATCAGGATCATATTTAAAGCCACAATGATCAGAAATAGCTGACTCCAGTTTGGAACAAACAAGAAACTACTGAATTTTCTCAGGATCAAAAAAGCAACCTTTTGATAAAAGTCTCAGATAATCTTTGAGGGTTAAAATTTACGCTGTTTTATGTTCTGAAACTAAATGTATAGCTCAATAAACAGATTTAACCAGCATTTTAATACACATTTAGTTAATAAAGGATACCACATGGGTTATCATCAATCAATGTTTCTTTTTTCAACTCCCTTACATATTTGACGTTTTATTTGTTAGTAATTCGTCAACAGAATTTATAAACCGTTATAAAATATAAAATAACAATACAAAACAATTAGCGTAATAATGTACGTTGGGTTTGTTTTGGAAATACATTTATGATTTGGCTATTTACATTAAATTACCTTTAAACGTTTATCTATAGTTGAATATATACTTAAATGTACTTACCTAGCTGTAAAAGTTCATCAAAATATGAAATAAATTCATGTCATAAAACAAAATAAACAGTTCATAATTCATTATTGCATTTTAGCTCTCTAAATAATGAGTAGTCACTTATAGTTTACACTCTTCTGTAAATGGTTCAGAGTGAAATGAATATCAGAAGATTGTAATTGTTAATTAAGATAACACATGCTTTGTCTTTATTTGAGAAGTGTTCTATTTCTTTTTAAGTCTTATACTTCATATTTTTTTTTATAGAAATAGAGTTGTATATTTATATAAATTTAAATAAATTTATTTTCCTTTGTATTTAGGGATTTACAAAATATTTCTATTAAAATATGCTTTAAAACAATGTCGTTACAATAAGCATTTGCATTTGATGACATAATTTAAACCACCTCATATTATGTTTGGTTTCAACGAGATCTACTAAACTCTTAAAACTAAACAACTAACTAAACAGTAAAAAATTGTTACAAATTAATACATATTTTGTTTATTAAATCACAAAATAAAAATTATAATATTTACACTAAATTACATTGTACTTAACTGTTTTAGATAAAATCTGTTGAGTAACATTATGATAAAACATACTAATTATTTTCGCGTACCACGAATTTCCAAAACTTTAGGTGCCACAAACTCGTTTCTGACTCCATATTCAATTAGCTTTCTTCGTGTGATAAACATTCTTTCCGTCGGGACCCGATCTAAAAAAAGGAAATTCGAATGATGTCTGTGTAATATTTAATTTTTGTGAGTTCAAATAGTTGTTTAGTGGGATATTTTACTTCAAAATATCGAATTAAAATACATATTTTAACCTAATTAGGGACAAGATCAGGAGGAACGTGAACTTCCAATACTTTAGATGAAATGTACTTCCTCGCTACTCCGTATTCCAGCAGTTTTCTTCTTGCAAAAAACATCTTTTCTGTAGGATTACAATCTGCAAAAATATATAAACCTAAATTAATCTGCGTCTGTATAAGTAGGCATATCTAACAACAACAAAAAACACAAAAAACTTTAATTTGAATAATTAAGGTGGGCTAAATCCTTTTAAAGTTCATAATATAGTAACTACCTATTTATGTAATCACGGATAAAATAATTATTGAAGTAAGTCCATTTATCATCAAGTAAGTTCAACTCTTACAATGATTATATAGAAACATTGGGATCAAACGACAGCTAATATTTGTAAAAAGATTAACTAAAAAAACTGTTTTATTATATAACCGTAAACGTTTTAATAATTGTAAATATTTAATTTGAATTATATAGTCTCTTACACAATTGCTTCATTTTGCGACATCAATAAGTGTCGTTTTAAACTCGGTAACACAGCTTAAAGTTTTAAAAACCTAAATTTAATTGGAGCTAACTATAAGAACTTGAAAGATAGATAGGTATGTTGACTTTTAATGCGAGCATTACCATAGAAATGGCCGATTAGGGCTACAAACAAACTTCTCGGTTGAAACTCAACCCATTTGCTTGGAAGGGATGGGCGAATCTTCCACCCTCGACCTTCATAAACATGGCCGTTTCCTCCAATGCAGAAGCTGTCAAACAGTTTGGTAATTCAAATTATAATTAGACATTTTGAAAAAAAAAACATTATCCGGTGTTTCATGAATATTTATGTCAAGACACTTTCATGATGCTGTATAGTAGTTTAAATTACCTTGTTACTGTCAAAAACGATCCTACGTAGTATGTGAGACTACAGCTGATTCATGCTTCAAAGGAGCACATCTTCAGGTCGGAAGAACGTCAAGTAGTCTTCATTGGGATTAGATATTCCTCGTTGTGGAGTTTGTCAAAAATTTAAAAACACGAAACACGAAACATTTAGAATTTGTCGACCAGACGACGGTAACAATAATAACAATAATAACAATAATTGTTACCGTCGTCTGGTCGACCAATTCTAAATGTTTCGTGTTTCCATGTGTTATGTGATTTGTTAACTATTTATTAAACTTTTGACGAACTCCACTACCAGGAATATTTAATCCCAATGAAGACTACTTGACGTTCTTCCGACCTGAAGATGTGCTCCTTTGAAGCATGAAACAGCGTAGTCTCACATACTACGAAGGGTCGTTTTTAAGAGTAACAAGGTATTTTAATCCACTATATTTTCAAGGCACTTTGCTTTAGGTTTGAGGTATTGTTTTATAAGTTGTATCATGGAATAGTTTTGAAACTAATATTTATTTTTAAGGGTCAATGTTATATGTTGTAAAATATGTGCAGCTAATTTATTATTTGTGATGCAAACCGATCAAATTTAAAAGAAACCATAACCTTTAGAGCTTGACGTATTTTACATGTTTGTAAAAATAGGATCAGTAGCATTTTAAAAACGTAGTCACTGTTATCCGATTCGTAGGTAAAATTTTAAACCTCTAAAGAAACCCTTTGTTTTACAATAAAATAAAATTTAAAGTGCAACTTTTAGACCTATTTGTTGAAGGCAAACATGTAAGAAAAAAATATTTTATAAATACGTAGTTTTATAAGACTGCTATTACGAGTAGTTTTATAAAAGCATAAAATGTCAAAGTATAAATAAAGTTTTTATAAATAGTAGAATTCTAACAAAAAAATACTTGTTATACTTTTTTTTTTGTTTTACGACGTAATGTTTAATTGCCTTGTATTTTTAGAAAGGAAACACGACTTAGAAACATATTGTAAATAACTAATAATTGATTAAGTAATGACATTTAAAATAAAAAATAAATTATTCAAACAATTTTAAATTTCTTAAATGTATGGTATCGTTTAAACCAACACAAATCTATCTATATATTTTACGTTTATTACTTAATTTTAAGTTTGATTTAAATATAAATGTTAAGGTCGAATGTATCATATATAATCTATTGTTTTAGTAATATCATGTAACTTCACCAATATCTTGCCTTAATAAAATAATGAAATCTAAAATTCACATTAAATGATAATAAACTTAAATGCAATTATTCATTGCAAAAATAAACCAACGTACTGTATTACTTGTATCTGATGTCCGGAAAGTGCTTCTTTTCCCTATGAATAGCTTGAAGTTTTCTCATCATTTTACAGCACGAGTTGTTGGATTTGCAATAGTGATCTTCTGTCACTGAGTAGAATATGTAAATGATCGGTCCTGTAGTGAAAATTACAGGCATTACTAAACAGTTTTGTTAGTACTATTGAATATGAATATTAATATCCATAAAAATGCAATTTAAAGATTTTAGCTATATTAGGAATGGACGAAATAATTCTCTGACAGAATGTTCATCTGTAAATTACTGAATATTCTTGTTCATGTCAACATTTTAATCAATTATAAGTTGTATAACAAATTATTTTCAGCTCTATTATGTTTAATATAATAATATATTAATATCACTAGCTTAGAAACACAAAAATATATAATCAGTGTCAATAAAAATGCTATAGCAGGCCTGGTAGGATCAGTAAGTTGTACAGTTCAATCAAAAGAAAATATAAAAATGTATGCTATACAATTTTGTGTTAAACATTATATAAATACATTAGTTGACATAAAATCCTTTTCAAAAGACTTAAATATGTTTTACCCCTGAACAGTTTTACACAATACCTAACGTTAGTAATAGTGAGTTGTGGCATTATCACGTGGATAAAATCCATTAGTGATTGGCGGGATTTGAAACCGGAACCTCGATCACCAAAGCCCCGCGCATTACCACCTGACCGGCTCACTCTCAAAAGTCTTCAGTAGTTAAAAAATACAATTTTACTCAGTTTAGTAGGGGGGAGATTAGGGTACGCTGGATCCACACCTTTTTATTTATAAACCTATATTTGTCTGAATAAACGAAGAAAAATAATAAAAAAATTCTTACTTGTCAAATTTCCGCTTGAAAAAAGATATTTGCACGTTAAGTTCACACGTTACGTAAGATACATTTTTATTGTGTCATTTTAAGTATACTTAAAATGAATCTACGAAGGATGGACGGTTAATAACTTATTTTATTAAATCGATTGAAATGTCACAACATGTAAAGTTTTTTTAAACTACACTTACCTTTCATTGTACCTTCCCACTCCGCTGCTCTTCTCCGCCATTCATCTTGGCCGTGCATTTTGAAAGGCATTCTCGTTAAAGTCAATTGTCTACCAATTTCACCTGTTTATATTGTTTTCATTTTTCATAATAACGAATTCTCTGAAAATGGCAACAATGCAATGTTACAACTTTAAATTCATAACGTTAAGATTAATTTAAAACAAGAAAGTTCACAAGTTGCTTGTGATTTGAATGCATTTACAATAAAGTATTGTTTATTGAAAAACATTTTTAAAATATTATTATTAAACTTTGTAAAAAAAGAATCATAATTCTTCTATTAACTTCATTTTAACACTGTAAATAACTGGGCTAGCTACTGTAATGAAAGAATAACACTTAGAGTTTAAGGGAAAGTTGTATTATTAAAAAATCTATAAGCCTATCACTAAGTAAAACAAATTTCGAATTTTTTTATCTTAGCAAACAATATAAAGTAAAGACGTATACAAAGCTACGTACGAAAAGATGAAAAATTAAAATAAATTACATATAATAAGTAACACAATGAAATCCAATGCCATTAAAAACACTAGTCATAAAACGTACCTATATCAGTTCTACTACAAATAAAACATGTTATTTGTCTCTACAAAAAAAAGTATGTATATAACAAACTTTTACTAAGTAGATAATGCTATGAAGATTAGTCAACGTCATATTGGTTCTGATAACATATCTAGAATCAAGTATCGATAATTATGAGTTCAGACAGTAACTGAGTACAAATTATATTTGAGTTTTTTTCCCACACTTTTGTTAGTGTTAAAATAAATTATTTATCGTATAGCAAGTAGGTATGATACAAATCCCTCAACTACAAGGTTGGTTATAAATAGAAGTAAAAGTATAACACCAGCTTAAAGTACGTTCAATTTTATTTTGTTTACTTTTATGTAAAGCTTACAATAACTTCAGCTCCCAATGGATATACTATTATGACAAAATACAATGTCATACATGGTTACTTTTATTGTTTTCAAAATCTTCGTATGTTTATTTAATTTCGGTTTGAAATAGTTTAAATTTTACATCAAATGTCTAATAGAGTCCCACAGAGTCAAGACAAATTTATGGGACCCCACCAAACTCACGGTCTAGGTGGTGATGATGTTATGTCTAGAGAGACTTTATTCTAAGCACTGGTTATCTAAGGCTACTTAAATTAGACTATCGAAAATCACCAATGGTCTCTGGAGTATCCCATAGACCAGACTTAGCACTTCCTTAAGGCTCTGTTGATGTTTTAAGTGGCGTAACTTCCTGTGCTAGTTTGAGTTATTTTTCTTTGGAAGTAAATTCGCGTCACATAGTACCATTCAAAGTAAAAATGTATTTGTTTCTGAATTCGATTTGCTTATTGACTTTGCTTTTTTTTATTCGTGAAGCAACACAAAATAATTTGGTTACCCTACCTGAATATAAGGTTGTAGCTTTAATTCAATGACATTATGCATAAAACTAATAAGAAACTTGTAATAATTAAACAATGTTTTATATGCATTTTCATATAGCTTTACTTAATTAGAATTTACACCCAAGTGTAATTGTGGCTTATAGAAATCCTAATAAATTTTACTATGTTAACAAATAAATATAAGTATATGGTGATAAGAAGAAAACAGTTACTATAGAAAACCACGTAAAGTTTAATTTAAACGTACTCAACCTTATTATACACATCTACTTTGTTGTAAACAACCTTTTAATTATGAAAAGATTTTTAAATATAGCACTATTCAATAATGTTAATATTGCACTTTAAGTAAATAAAAAAATTGTAAAATTTACCAACTGTAATATTATTTATATTTCTACTTTATCAATTTATTTTTACAAGCTCATCAAACAAAAGAGGTATAAGTGTGTGTCTCAAGTTTATTTCGATGAATCTTTCAGATATATATTTGTTTTCTATACCGAACTGGACTATGTTTCTTCGAAGGTACAAGTGATCAATAGCAGGCATGTCATCTGTAACGAAAAGTTTAAATAAATATGATTTCACTTTAGTACTAAAATGGCTTATTTTAACATGTACCAAACGTACCAAAGATTTTGATACATACACCTATGTGCCAACGACTTTTACAATGTTCATCCCTCTTTACAATAAACAGAAACAATCTGTAACAGTTTTAAACCATAAACAAACTTTTATAATTCCTACTGACAACAGTTTTATTAGTTTTTAAATAAGCACGTAGTAAAGAGCTTAAATAAATATTGTACAACTATAAATGTTTTTCTCCTTTGGATACAGCCTAATATCACTACTAAAAATACAAAACTTGATGAATGAAATTTAAATTTACTAACTCGTTTATAGTAAATATTATAACATTATGGTTAGTATTATAATATAACATATGAGGAATTTAACACGTCATTAAGCCGAGATTTAGGACACTACTTTTTAAGTTACAACAACTAGGCACAATACATGAATCGGATTAAGATTTAATGTTGTATTTCAGGAGCCATGTTAAAACATGACATACACGGAAACGTCTGGTAACTATTCGTGTATACCTTCATTTAAATTTCATATATTAGGGGTTTCCTTTATTCCGTGCTCATCGCGAGTAGAGAAAGTAAAAGCAACCCTAATAGTGAACATCTCGTTCTGTAAACGTCAGGTATATGTAATGCAATATATTACTTTTCAATTAAATTTATCCAAGCCCTGCAAACGTTTTCAGGGTACATCAGAAATCAAACTTCACAACAAAAATCAGAAATCATTTTGACACACAAATTTCAGACGCTAGTCACTAGACTAGCACAAATATTTTATCAAATAAAAAATAAAATAAAACTTTAAAAAATTACTATACTTACATCTAAAGTCCCCTAAATATCCGATGTAGAAGGACGTGTAGTTGAATTCCTTATGCTTGTGTGGGAGAAAAGGGGCGTTATTCCATCCACGACCTCTGTAAATGTTTCCGTCCGGGGCAATAACAAAACTAAACAAATACAAAGTTTTATTTACCTGTACTTTATATGTTTTTTGTTGTATCTTAATAAATATCGCTAGTAAATATTTAGATTTTTTTCCAAAATGGAAGACATAAATATCTTAAATTTAGGCTACCAACGTAGTCGTTAATCAATTGTTAGGGGTAAAAAAAACTGTAGATCGAGAACGAAAGGTTGAGTCACATATATTTGTAGTAAATACTTATTCGGTGATCAAGGAATTACTAATTTTGTAATCAAAGGAGTATATAAATTACAAAGAATGTGGGCGCTAACGTTTTGAAAATGTTATTATTACACATATGCTGTCTTTATTTAATTCCATAAAACAATAAAATGTGATATTAATAATATAATTTTTATCAAATCAAGCATGCCTTTTTCGTACCTTTCATAATAGAAAGCATATAATAATGTTTATGGCTTTTTAAATAATCAAGGATTTTAAATTTATAAACATGTTCGTTGAAAGGTATTTTATTTTATTGTATTGTATCAAATTGTATTGTATTGTATTGCATTGCATTGCATTGCATTGTATTGTATTGTATTGCATTGCATCGTATTGTATTGTATTTATTGTATTGTATTGTATTGTATTGCATTGTATATTATTGTATTGTATTGTACTGTACTGTTTCGTACTGTACGGGAGGACTCAGGGCTCCCGTACGTCAACCGAAACTTGGAGGGTAACTGATGAAACTGATGAAACTGAATCAATATTTTATATCTTTAAATGTCCAAATCATTCACCTAAAAGTACTAATTTCAAAGAAGTACTCATTAGCGCAAGGTTTTGTCCGTCGCTGTCCAAATCGTTGGTGTTTTTAAAAGGAACGTTTTTTATGGAAAGAAGACCAAACCCTATGTGATGTGCCAGGGCCAGTTTTCCCACACTGCTAACCAACACTCTGTGTTCAAGGCTATTGTGTTATTAGTAGCATAATTAGTCAATTTCATCAACATGAGCCACATGTTTATTTATTTATTTATTTTACCTTCCAACGGTCAAGAACCAATTTACAATAATATGTTGTATAAGATGACTTAATCTAACTTAAACTTATACATACAAAAGTAATTTTTGACAAAATGACATTGATATGACAAAATGACATGTTGATATTGAGTTAACAGATTATCCTTAACCTTAAAATATGTATAGGCAAGATAGCATATGCTTAACGCCCAATGATTAACCAATGATCAGCTGGGTCCAGCTGCAAACTAGCAACAAAAGTTAAAAAAAAATATAAATAATATGACACTTACATTTAATACCTTTTGCAATACATACTTGAATCTGATATCCTTTTTCCTCCTCATATCCCAGTTTTGTAACCTTTGCAGATACTCCACGCATTCTATCTCCAAGGCCCCGGGCCTAGGTCCGTGTTTTCGTTCCGCGAATACGAAGGCGTAGAATATTTTGTCAGCTGGATATTTGACACGTGGTAGGTTACCCTGGATGTCTTTACCTCCCCAAGTTCTCCTTGGTACAACCCTCAATGAACTCATTGTTTAGCCTATCATTGTTATAGCCTACAAGAGAAAAATGAATTGTGAACACATGGTAATTTAAATAACTGAGAGGTCTGCAAAAGGAAAATGACATAAATAAAATAATTAATAAATACAAAAAGTTATGAAAGTAATTATCTCATAATATAAATTGCATATCAAAAGAATGTTTTCCGTAAAAAAATATTATCACTGAAAATGAGGACGTAATATAATCATTACTTAACTAGTTTTTTACTATGGAATAACTAATAAGATGTAAGGTAATTGTATACGACTATTTTGTAATAATATACATCAAAGCAAAGAAAAAAAAAACAGAATTTCCATAAAAAATTACTTAATTATCGAGTAAAATAAACTGAGATGTAATTAAATTATTAAAGAGTAACCGATATGGACAGAGAGTGCATAGTTTCCCAAAAGCACACACAGTCAAATACAGTATTTTAATGACACTATAACGTAAGCTAGAGAATAAAAGGTTGAACTAAAATTACATATGTGTTCTCCCTAAGTATGTTGATAGTAATAATACGTTTACGAAGTATATTTGTCATACGAATCCTTCTTAAAAGAAGGCATTTGGAAATTTAGAATATAAAAAAATAATACAATTTCACTCGCGTCTTGTATTAAAACAACAAATTATATGTTTTATTATGTCTATTTGTTTGGATAATTGTTTTTCAGCAGTTTTTTTATCTTCAATTTTATGTTTACAAGGAAAATATAATATTTAGTTTATGAAGAAAATCATTTATAGATCTGGAAAAACCAATAATTAGAAATAAACAATTCTAACACGAATAGGCTTGGCTCCTTCTAAATGGATTTTATGATAAATATTATAAAAACCGCAACTGTATTATAAATCATTTTAAATAATTTCTTGAGTGATTTAAAAAATGCTACATTTAAGTCATGATTGAAAATAGTGGACGGAATAGCCTTATGTACTATTATTTTAAAATATATATACTTACTTTTATTTCAATTACATGTCCACTTTTCGATCAATAAAGTTCACACAAGTTATTCAATGAATTTAATCAGACATGCAATAAAACATTATTTGTGAATTTGAACACCACTTTCTTACTTAAAAACGGCTGTAAACAATTCGTTTTTAATTCACTACACTATATAAAACAGGTTGTATCCAACCATACATTGTTTTAGTTCAGACTTAAATTGCTTACATTTAATCTATGATATTACATTGTTTGTGTTAAAACGTGTGCAGCTACAAAGTTATGTAATGCAAACTGTATCTGTAGTTATCATTTTCGGCTTATCACGCCCGACTATAAAAGTAGTGATATAGCATTGGATTTTGATAACCGTTGCTATTAAGCGATGGTACACTATTTGACTGGTTGTTAAAGATATTTACGTTAATTTCCACTGAATATAATTTGCTCAAAACTTTTTAAATTTTTTCAACCCCCTTCCCCCCCCCCCCACACACACACACACATGTTTAACACGTGTGTTAATGCTCCATACGGTATTACTTATTTTTAATAAAGTTTGTATGTGTTATATTGCAACAAACAATATTTATGCTCTTCAGTAAAACAGGACGTGATATTAATTAAGATTAGAAATCAAAGCAGGAATAATAGTAAAAGTCTTTAGTGGAAAGGATTCTTTACAAACTTACATTCGTAAATATAAACACTGCATATGCTCAACGTTTCCATTTTTATTCATAAGAATATATATATGTTCAATAGAAATAACATTATTTACACGTATTTACACGAATTTGTATATTCAAAATTTCGAGCCGGTCAAGCTCCTTTTATTGAAATCGTACGCTTCATTGGGTGACTTTATATTGCTGTTCAGTGTATAGAGCAAAAATCGTTTGCACAAATAGTTGTGCCTGACACCAAACTGTAATAATTGATTCCTTGCTATGTAGTATTCGTCACCTGGAGGTTCATCTGAAAAAAAAAAATACCAATTATATCCAAGAATAAAACCTCACATATATATTTCACAATATTCCAAATACAATGCAAGCCTTAAATATTGTATATACTGCATATTTAATGTGTGCATCAAACCGTAATTTTCAATTTTTCATAACCATTTCGTACCACAGCTACTGTTAGAGATGGTTTTATATTTTGAGTGCATAAGTATTAAAAAGCGTTAAATTCTTACCAATAATACTCAGTTGTTTTGAAAATATTTTAATTAAAATAATAAAAAAATATTAAATAAAAAATAGAATAACATTTTTATTTCGACAAGAGTCGTTTTGTTTGCATGTAGAAGGAATGCAAAATTTAGGATTTTCAGCTAACATTAAATATTTGTTTGTATTCCAGATAAAGATTGGCATTGTCTATGCTAAAATCAAATCTAAATTTTATAATAAATATGAATCACTGACTAGTTTATAATGAGTAATAAAGTGCTACAGAAGGATTCTAGTAAATTTGGCGTGGAACAATGTGAATATTTGGCGTTAATTGATATCATTCGACCCATGTCAACGATACCAAAGTGCTATTTGACGTATTTTAACAATATGCTTTTAGTACCAGTTAAATAAGTGTAACCAATACTAGTATAAATAAATGCACGACGTAAAGTTATTAAATTTTCCATTTATATCAGAACTTCGACCAGATAAGCTAAGTGCACAATGCAGTTGTCTGCTTGCAATGTTGAGCGAAGCAAGTATATTAACCGAATGTTAAATGAAGTCTATGATACATCTGGTTCACATAAATGAAATGTCTACTTGCCGTATCCAAAGTCAATGGTACGTCTAGTTCACGTAAATGGAATGTTTACTTTCGGTATCAAAAGTCAACCGTGTATGTATAACCTATTCGTTATTGCATTTTGAGTAAATCATGCTCAACGGTATTAATCAGATTGCTAGTCCCTTTTGTTCTGCATTTGTAACGTACTAGCTTAAATGATTAGTTTATAAATATATGTTACGACTCTTTTGTTTACGTTTTTATTGTTATCTTGCAAACGCTGTCATGGCGACCAATTAACCCATAAGGTCCATATAAAATTTCATAAACTTAAACTTTGCGTATGAAAAAGCCCTGTAGTTCGATTTGTACTGTTTTAGATTTATAGCTTTCCTTAGTTGGTTTATATGAATTTGCTAAATTTCATGCGGATTGCTGTAGCCGTTCAGGAGGAGTATTTGTAAAACAAAATCAGGAGTATAGTATAATCGCTTCACTCACTCCACTCAATAATTAATGTTCTTGTGAGTTAAATTATTTTTTTTTAATTGTTACGTTACGTTAAAATTATCTACACATTGTATTTAAAATTATCTACTGTATTTAGGAATAATAGAATACAAATATTCAATGCACGGTTTACTTACTTATGAAATCCCCTATGAACATTATGTAGTAGGAGAGGTGTGAAAAGATTCTGTACTTTGATGGCAACGTAGGAACCTTGTCCCACCCTCTTCCCTCGAATACAATCCCATCAGGAGCTATGAGGAAGCTATAAAATAATAAATAAAAATAATAACAAATAGAAAAATGCAAAAATAACACATATGGCCATTTTTTATAAGTGAAGCTATTTTTTTATCTACGCAGCTTGCTGCACATATTAGTCCTACTGACACAAATATTTTATGTAAAATTAGTAAAGCTAAGAGTAAAAGTCACATTAGACCAAAAAGAATAATATAATCTTAAGTTAACGTAAAGTGTACTACGACGAAATAAATATATTATCACATTAATAAATTAGGCACTTGCTGTATATATTTTTAGCTTTGTAAATATTCAATTTAAACTTAATCGCTCTATTATTTTTTTTTTATATTGATAAATTTACGAAACTCTCATAGACAAATAAAATAAAGTATAAATTGAACATAAAAGTTCCAAAATCTGTCATTTGTAAAATTTTAAAAAAACATTTCAGTTTTGGGAAGTTATTTAAACCTTTATATAATTAGCATCGATAAGCCAAAAATACTAATTCCTGTATGTTTTAACAATTCCATAAATTTAAGAAAAACTTACTTGTATTTTATGTCTGGATACTTCTTAAGGTCCATTTTCTGAATGAACTTGATCTCAGAGACAGCCGACTCATACGAAGGTCGACTTCCAAGCCACGGTTTGCCCTTAGGAGCGTACTGTTGCTGAGGAAACCCAAACATAATCATCTTGGCTGGTGGGTTCATGGTGGGAACGAACGACGATGGTTGCGCCCGCCATTGCTGCCTGGTCACAAATCTTAGGTCTTCCATTGGCGCTGGAAAAGTGGGTATTCTGTAAATTAAAAGAAGTTCCTAAATAGGCCTAATCGTAATGTATATGAGTTTGTTATCTATACAACGAGGGATGTATTTTTTGGCATTGTGACTAAAGGCAAAAGTTATTAGTGTTGTATGAGCTAGATAATAGTATAGTTGATGATCAGCTGTTTTTTTTATTTTTTTTTATAGTTAATTCTTTAAGAGCTTTATCATGACATAAATTTAAGTCCGGTTTCGAATCATATAGAATCTATGGGCTTTTATTGGAGCGAAAATATTAGTGTTCTATTAAACTATTAACAATAAACCTAGCTTTCTTTAATGGTAGTTTTAATTGCAATGACTCAACATTTTAATTAAATTTCTAACGTGGTTTAAGACGTTGAGCCATCTCTATTTGTAAATTTTACGAAAATAGTTTTTACAGACAACGATAAAGGAACTTTGATTATCTTCGATCAAGTTTTAGAACTGCAGAACATATGGGTGCTAGCTGTTCTAGTGGTAAAACATGAGATTTCCAAGGAACCTCGGTACGAATTAGGCTAATAACCAACGGGTTGTATCCCTTTCAGACCCAGGAATCTTAGTCCTCTCGACCGTTTTAAGTCCCGAGCAAATGTTGAACAAATGTTGGTCTTAACCTAAATCTCAAATACTGTAATTATTTGTTAGGTTTGTTTTAAAAAATCAACCTTCATTATACCTAGAATATATATACCCATATTGAATATACACATATTAAAAATAAGTGAATATGATGCAAGTGTTTTAAATTAGAAAACTTATTTTCTACCTTATTATTAAATAAAATTCGTATATAGGAAAATACTTGATTGTAGAAAAAAAACTAGTTTAGGTGAAATGTTACTTACATGTGTTATTAATGAATTAATTTGTAAATAGCTATTCTGAGCTTGTAAATTTAGCGTTCCAATATAGATACATAAGCCTACCTACTAACATAGATCTTATACAATGATTGTGTTTTTCCTCTTAGAGTACTAACAAACATTTTAACAATTTCATAACCTTGTTTGCTGCAGTATAAATAAGGTGTTCCCAATTTGAATGAAATTGAATGGTCAAAAATAAATTATTTGTATTAAACTTACATGTTTAGGTTACTTTAATACTTTCCCCACGAAAAAAGGATGATTTGGTTAAATCTGTTTAACACACAGGAGTCTCCATTGTTCTTAAAATGAAAAAAACTTTATTCATTTATTTTTAGTCTAATCTCTATCCAAATATTTTAACTTATTTACAATCAAAACTGATATTATTTAGATAGCCTCTGTTATCGGTCTGTCTGGGACTTACTATGAAATAACTTCTATATAACATCACGTTTCTATTTGAAAACCGTATTAAAACTCTTGTAGTTATTTGGTAAAATGAATTACTGTTTGTATGGTATTTTACTTCAAAAAAATAAATGCTATGCTTTTATTATTTATTATTTTTTTGAAGGAAGTGATTTAGTGGTAGAGCGCCAGACTTCGGTCTATAAGGTCCAAGGTTCAAATCCCATTAAATAACCAATGAATTTTATCAAAGTAATATTGTAACAACCCCTTGGTCTAGCCTGAAGTCGTGTGAAAAACAATCCCATGCTCGTGCCTAGCATCTTAGGACCCATAAAAATCTGATTGTGTAAAAATTAATTGTTTTATTGCGAGGTATAACAAGCATATAGTGCGGAAGGAAACTTGGTCGTTCTAAGCACTGTATTAAAAAGCTCATCTGATAGAGTGGTTTGTCTTTGGATACAGACATGCTCCATTATATCCCTTAATTTTTTACTTACCTTCCATTCATATCTAACATAAAACAGCCCCCCGTTTATGTTAACGTTAACGTTAATGCTGTCCCAATGAATTAACTAATAATAATTGACATAATTGTAATTAATATAAAAAAAAAACAAGCACCCACCCAACAAGCAGTTTGACGTAGGAGTCCACAATTTGCTTGCATATAAGTCAAATACCTAAATTATTCAATTACTAATGTAAATGTAGAAGAATGGGTGGATTTTAAATATATGGCCTCTGTTTTTCTGTGTGCAAATATGTCACTATTTTAGACCAGTAATCCAATCTAATGTGGAAACCCCTTACTTGCAGTTATTATTAATGTACGGTATAATAATTGTGTAAAAGTAAAATGTATAATTGTATTGTAATAATAACATAAAAATATTTGTATTGATAAAAAACCATAAGCGACAAATATAGGTTCTCTCAGATGATATTGCTGCTGCGATTCAGTTGACAGATTGAAGCTTCACTGAATATTTTAAACAGAACAGTACTTGTTTTACGAAGAGAAAAATCTAGTGTCTTTAAGGAAATAAGTTAATATCCATCCAGAATCTGATGCTTTTCTTTATTATTAATATTTGCTTTAAGAGAGTAGTCGTCTACAGATTTGTTACGTGATGGCCAAAACGACACAACAGTTTTGATATATGATTAAATTTGCTGGTTTACGAATTTAAATTGAAACAAACAAATTAAATCACCAACAAGGCAAATCGTTTATCCAAATCGATAATATGCTATTTAAAACGCAAGAGCTTACGTGGAGAGAGACTTATAAATAAAGCAATTTAGAATTTAAATTACCTAAATATTTTATATAACTCTCTCAACGCAAGATTAAACTATAATATTTCACAAGAATATAATTAACATAAGTTTTAGAAGTTCTGTTTTGTTAGAATTCCCCTATGGATTGTCATATGAGAGTGTTAAAAAACTAAGAGGTACAGTTGATCAATAGTATAAACATCTATATTTTTAAGTTAATTAAAAATTACACACTATAATGCACTTCTGTATTATCACACCGTAGCAAAACACGGGTATAAAATTTATTATTGTATAGTAAGAAAATAAATAAACAAAAATATTAACAAAATAAAACTGTTTTACAGGTAAATAATATAAGAAGCGTATTAGTAATACAATTTTGCATGGTCATTAAATATTTTTTTTACATTTTTATAATGTTTATATTTTAAAAATTAGTTATATTATAATGTTTTACCTCATAACTACAATGATTTAAAATATATATTTATTAAGCTCGTGTTTATAATCACAAGTAAATGGAAGTACAATCTGAAGATGCTTCATTTTAATCATCTTCATTTGAATACCTATTTTTATTACTTCGTTTTTAAGGTCTATGAGATGTTTTGGCGGTGGCACTTCTGAAATAAAATAACATTGATTAGTGTTTCTATTGAACATTACTTCAATGGGTCTATCAGTTTGATTTACTAAGAAATCCATGTTAATTTAGGTTCTCAATGTCTATAACATACAGTATTAATACATTAAAAATTGTATAGGCCAATAGTCATATTGTTTTTCCTTAATGATTTTCCCTAATTATTTTAAGCAAGTATAAAGTCAACATTAGGAGTAATCCGTGTAAAAAAATAATATTCTCAAACACGTAAAAACACTGTACTATAAATTCAACGTAATTGGACAAAATTCGATCAAAATACCGGGTGTCCCAAAAAGAATGGATCAAAAGTAAACTGACATGAACACTTTATTCTTAAAGACAAAAAGTTAACTTTATATACATTTTGTTTCCTAACATTCTAAGTTTTCCTAATGTTCTCCGTTGTTCGCTCGGAGAAAGTCAAGGCGGTGTTTTAGCTCAGACCACACATTGTGTCGCATTTCATTGGATATTTTTACAAAGGCTTCCCTTATCTTTGCTTTAAGTTCATCTAAGTTTGAGATCGGCAAGTTATACACTTGATTCACAAATCGCCATACAAAAAATCACAAGGCGTAATGTCTGGAGATCTAGGAGGCCACCGTATGGGACCGCCACGACCAACCCAACTGGGAAGGTTTCATCCGTCTGGCCGATGTTTCCAGAATCCTTAAACTGCCTGTACCATCGCTCCATACTGTTTCTGGATCGTGGATTTACATTGTATACAGTCCGAAATCTTCTTTTTACTTTAACTACTGATTTAGTCTCAATGAAGCACTCAAGGCGCTGTGCTTTTAACTGCAAATTCATAATGCAACTGTGTGTTGTGTTTTGAAAGTTCAAGCGTGCTCACAACAATGAACAGCTGATTGTTGTTGAATCATACTAAAAAAACTTAAAGATGTCAGCTTTAAAATAAGCCACACTTGACTTTCCTATGACCCTCAATAACACGTATATTAAGCTGTAGATTTGATCCATTATTTTTGGGACACGGTGTATATCTTTAATGGTTTGTTTTAAAATAAGTAATGTAAAGAGGCTAGTAATTAAAATATTGACTAAAGTCAATTTGCCAATGATAGTTTTTTATATTTTATTTTACTGTCATACCGGTTTGAAAAGATTTGTTGATTTCATTTTGCGCTTTTAAATATCGAATTGTCATGAATTTTTAATATAATATTTTTAAGAACATTTTTAAACTTTAGAACTACCACACTGTTAAAACGTCCACTTACTTTGCCAGTTACCTATAAAGCCTATGTAGAGACTTTGGTCATTGCTGTACCAATACTTCTTAGGCAATTGTGGCCGATTTTTCCATCCTCTTCCTTCGTATACTACCCCATCTCCTCCTACCATGAAGCTGTCAGGGGATATGAAAACAATTGGGTTAAAAATTAGGTTAATAAGGTTTAATAATCGTTAAGCTAATCGTTTATTGACCTAACGATTATATTTTGAGTGTCTAGAATTTTCAGTAGTATTTGTCTTTAATATGATTTGAAAGTCACTGTGTTAAAACTATTTTTCAGATCTAGTTTATCACAGTCAATTAGCTCACAAAAACATTTATATATATTTATGCTACTAAATACAAATATATGTTACCAATCTTTAGGTAAATGGAGTATATCTTTGCCTTCGGATAAATGCATCTAAGTTTTAAATATATAGTTGCCTTAAAGGTTGAGTATTCCTTGTTTGGGGTAAAAAGTGATTTTATGTTGGTTGTTAAGTGCTGTTTATGTAAATTCCGGACCCATAATAATTTTTACGTTGACCAGCCAAACTCTGGGAAATGTTATAGGTTAAAATAAAGAGACACTCACAAACGAAATATTTTCCAAAATCACTTAGTTTTTTTACCGAAATATTATAGCTTTAAATTTTTCAACTGATATTTATGAAACTTCGTAAGTATTTTAGAACAGAAGAGATTATTAAAATATAAACAAATACCGTAGTAAAAAATTGAATTTAAAAATTGTGGCAATTACAACTTTTATACAGAGTAGCTTAAAGAATAAATATATTGCAGATTCAATAGAAAAGGACCAGAAAGATTTGTTTACAGCAGTCGTAGTTTTTTGTCAAATACATCAATAAAATCCCAAACAAAAATAGCAAAAAAAAGAATCACGGTATTTCTTTTTTGTAAGGCGAAATAAGACTAAGTCAGGCGGTGTATGCCTCATTTTGCCTAATTGTACAACAGAAAATCGTAATATTATAGCTATTTTTATTTGATTTTGTTGATCTAGTTATTATTTTATGGTGAATTTCAAATGCATAATAAAAAGACTATGAAATATGTTCAACATACTTCTAATAAGGTAACAAACTTAAATGGGTGTAATTTTAAAATTTAAAATATGACCAACATACGTACCAAGTTTCTTAATGATCATTTGGAATAGTTAAAAGATCAAAACCTTTACGGAAAAATTTCAAAAATCCGGTTTTCAGTGTTTATAATTATCCTTAATTTTCCTCTTTTTTAACTATCATTTTTTTTTTTTTTTAAATTCCTTAACTCTTAGTCGTGTGTCTATAGTTAAAGCTTATCCTAGGTTCTTACTTGTAACGTATATCTGGCTTCAGCATTTTGAACTCTCTAGCTTGAAGGTCCTGCATGGCCTTTATCACTTGTATAGTCTTTGGCCTTGGGCCCAACACTGTAGCCCAATAATCCGCCACTCTAGAGTTCACTTTCACTGTAGCAACTCCAAAGGATAAATACACAAACGACACTGGTGTTTTTGCCACAAGCATTTTATCCACTCTTTGAGGGGCTTGTCGGCTGTGGGACCACAACTTCTTTTTTCGAATTTTAAACATTTTGTTGTCAAAGTTATACCAAAAGTCAGAGGGAACCGGAGGTTTCCTCTCTGGGTTTATTTTTAATTTAGTTTGATTCATTGTGATAGATTTCTTCTTCAGTGGATAGGTATGACACGTTGTTTAGGCATGCTTGTAATAGTAGAACTGATCCGCCAACATCTGTAACAGTTAATATCAGTTATATTTATACCTATATGTTTTAGAAAGATGGATAAAAAATACTACTACACTTGAAATCTATGTGTTTCTGCTCTTAAATAATTACATCCTTATATGTACACTTTAAGAAATGCTTTAATATTAACCTTTTAAAGTTACATTAGTGTTACTTTTGTTGTATGTTTTTAAAGTAAAGATATTATTGTAATTTGTCTAGTATATCAGGCATTATGAAACAAAAGTCACATAACTGACATAAACTTGCTTAAATAATATACATTTATGTACATTTATATACATTTATGTAGTACAATTACCTTCTAAATGGTGCAAAGATATTTCTATTCACAGAAATAGGCTTCAGTTATAAGCCATTCTTAAATGTAATAACAATTGTATAAGTGTATACTTATAACTGTACAATGGCACATAACGTTGTTTTGAGGTGTATAATTCTTTTCCGAACATTTTTCTTCTTATATTAACAGACTAGCTTTATAACTCCAAAAGTATACTAATGTATATATTCTCATTTTGTTATACATATTTAAAACACTCTGACGGACCAATTAATTAATTCTCGCACATTTGCTGTCCTAACGATTACAACTACTGTAAAGATATAGCAAATAATATTGAATATGAATAATGTAGATAACCACCGGAAGATTCTAGCAATATTAAAAGTATGGTATTTTTATAACATATTATCGATAACTCATTACAATTATTTGACAATGATAAGAGGAAGACAATATTCTCTTACGATAACTATTGCGAATACTCATGTTACACTTTGTAATTTTGTACCAAATTGATTCCATTCGATTTGTCATAGTTGGATTTATATACTTTAACATGCACGTGTGATCTATAGGAACTACAGAGAAATTAAATTGGGAAGCAAGCTGGACTAGTTAAAGCTAGGGGCTTCGGAGCCCGAGGTCCTGGGTTCAAATACCATCAATATCCAATGGATTTTATCCATATGATAATTCTGCAACCCTATTGGACTTGCTTGACAGAATGTGTAAAACAGTTTAGAGCAACACATTATACACATTTTGTACTTCCGTCACAATAAAGCTGAAGGCTAAGTTATAACTGCAATTATCATTTTAGTTTAAGTTTAAACATCAAAATTAAGGAGGTGGTTTTGAAAATAGTGTGAAGAACCATTCATATCCAGATAATTAAAAAGCTTTGAAACAGATCTGAAACTATGGTATTTTAAGATAATTTTAAACATCCAAAATGTTATAAATTTTTAAATTCTATGTAATATTCCTTTTATAGGGTAAATAACAATTCATTCTGGTCTTGAAAAATAATTGTATTTTAAATTTTAAGTAGGTTTCAATATGTATAGTACAGTGTTCATGGGCTTAAGCCGTACCTGGTCGTACTTTGGTTATGTTTTCTTCTATATTCTTTTAAGACAACTCACTTATAGTTATAAAGGAAATCAAACAACACATTGTTGTAAAACATAAAAACTATATTTTTTAAGAATTTACAAAACGAAAATTATATACAGTTCTTTTTACAATGGTTTTACTTTATATACATATCAAAATTAAACCTATAAACACTAGGGAATGCCAAGTTGACCATAAAAAACTTTTTCTTAATGCTACCTTTTTCAATGCCTATTCTTATAAGTTCGTCTCGAAGCTGGAAAAGTTTATCGTCTGGTGGTTCATCTGCAAAATGATACATATTATTTATTTATTTTTTTTTATAAAAATTAACCAACGTGGTCTAGTAACAAAACACATAAACAACAACATAACAACTTTCATTAAGAAAAAAAAATACAATAATACAATTTACCAATGCGAAATAATTAATGAAATTGAAAATACAAAAATGTTATACATATGATTTGCTAAATATATATATATATATGTACTATAAATATATATTTTAATCTTGTTCAGGAACATTTATCTATACAAGTAGTTCAGTTTTTTTTTTTTTTTAATGAGATTTTAATAAATCACCTATGCTAAAGTAGCAGCAGGTATTAGTTATTAATAAAGCTGTTTATTCATTAATTCATCAATTAACTTGTAACTCATATTATTACGTTAAATGCGTACACTGGTGTACACTGGTGAAGTTAAGTTACTGGGTTTTACCCTGGATGCTAAATTAAGCTGGAACAGTCACACGGCTAACATCTGCCTAAAACTAGCAAAAGTAACACGTCTCCTCAGGTGCCTAAAGCCTCTACTATCTAAGGAGCAACTATTAATGATATATTATGCACTTTTTCACAGTCATGTTATTTATGGGCTTCAGCTGTGGGTACACGCATAGGGATGCAATAATATCCTACTCGAGCAGAAAAAAGCCTTGAGAATCATAGACCCGGCTGGTTTTCTCGACAACTGCAAACCTATATTTGCAAAACTCGAAGTCTGCACCGTGTTTAGCCAATACATTCTACAAAAATCAGAATTCCTGCTTTATGTCAGGGGAAACCTATCTTTAATTACTATGAGAGGGGACCTGCACCCGTATAACACCCGAGGGAGGGAAAAGATTTATATCCTTTATCCCCCCCTGCCTACAGCAGAGTAGAAAGAAGGAATGCTTACCAGTCCTGGCAATAAAACTTTTCAACACGCTCCCAACTAGTGTGAGAAATCTGGAGGTCGGGAAGTTCAAGACTCGGGTAGAGCGATGGTTGAGGAAAAATCCTTTCTACTCCGTTGAGGAATGTTATAAAGCAGATACCCAAAATATGTAAGGCCTTGCTCGGTAAAGACTGCCGCCAAATACACAAATCAAAATAAGTAAATAGGGTACAGTTTTTAAATAATTTATATTTTGTTGTACAGTCCTAAATATTAGTTTTAAAAGTATTACTGACGCCATCTATCCAGTATCACTGGTCAAAGATGAAGGGAAAAAGTATAAGTAAGTAAGTGTGTATCAGTGTCTTACATTTAATAGTTTTTTCTTGTAAATAATCTTGTATAGTGCGATATTTTAGAAAAAAATTAATTTAATATACCTACGTACCATGAAAGTAGCCTATGAACCCCAAGTAAACGCCTTGATTCCAGTTGTTGATATGTCTTGCAGGCAAAGATGGACGGATCCTCCACCCTCTTCCCTTATAAACTACACCATCTCCGCCAATCATGAAGCTGAAAAGTAGTAAACAAATCATGACTACTTTAGGCCATAACATAGCCAATGTGGCATACTGTCTAGTGCCTACATGATAAAGAAGATTTGTATTACCATACTTTCATGGGGTTTCTATTTCGTTAAAATTGATTTAGATTCATTAAATCCTTTTAAAAGGGAAGCGTGCCAATTCCAATTAATGGTCTCAATCATTAAAAACTGTATTTGGAAATAGTGATTTACAGCTATACGATATTTATTTAAACATATACCCTCTCAATCATATTAATACGAGGGAGAAACTCTAATTCCAGATTGTAATACACTCATTTACTAAACATTTTTAGCAATAAAAAATTAGGCTGTGGCAGTTACCCATGTGTATTTTGGTATCCACAGACTACATTACACAAACACATTAAATCATAGCAAAATATTATTTACCGTTACAGACATGCAAAACGGCAGCTAAGCTTACTTGTAACGGATGTTGTGAAATTTCTTTCTCAGGTCGAGCATTTGAATGGACTTTAAAGCGTCAAGCACTTGAAGTGTCTTAGGCCGAGGTCCTAGCTCCTTCATGAAGTCCCTCTGTTGTCCTTTAGGTGATGTTGTGTTGAAGGAGCAATACACGAAGGATACTGGTCCTTGAAGGGGAGCAGCAGGATGTGAGTCCTTCGGCCTCTTAGCGGTATGCGACTTCCATACCTTCTTGGAACGAATGTTGAGATCGGTTTTGTATTGATTGAACAATGTGTCAAAGATCTCGTCCATATTTACTTTGGTATTTAAATTTGTTTATACTCTGATACAGCCTAAGCTTGCTTGAACCGATCAAGTTTCATATTTGCGAATGTTTGTGGTCGTTTTCATTCGGAAATCTACAAAAATAATGAGAGTGGTATTATTAAACATATTAGTAAAGCAAATGTTAACCGGTATTTGTTTTCTGATAGATTATTGTAATAGGTGATTAACACGATTGGTAACAATACATTTCCCTTCTGTTTTGGGATCTAGAAACCCAACTCATCTTTAGATTAGACAGAAGAAAAAACATTAAAAGATCGTAAAAAGACCTACTCAATGCTGGAGAATCATTTAGTAAAACCAACCTTTTGAACTAAATGGTAGTCAAAACAAGGGACAAAAAAATCTATATCGAAAGAACAATCAGTGTACACTGAAAACTTATGCAAAAGACATGGAAACATAAAATTGTGATGAACAAATTTCCACATAAGGTTACAATTTACATGCTACCTGCAGACAAAATAGAACATGTTTACATGTTAAAATTATTAATAAAAAAAATACTCAGTTAAATAAAAAGTTAAATTTGAGAATGTTGTCTAAAAGAGGTAATCCAAAAAAATTTAAAATAATAATTTCTAAAATGATATCAATTCAACAAAATAAACACAAATATTGACAAATGGTAACGTTAGTTCCTTGTACCTCTTGAATTAAAATATTTTATTTATTCTTCTATTATTTAATATATTTATTATCTCTAGACGCATTATTATAAGTAAGTAATATAGAACTCGTTGAATGTAACACTGTAAATATTAATAAACCTCCAGAAATTTTATTATGTATACATTACCTTCTACGATATCCACAAAATTGTGTCCCAACAATATCAGGTTAAATTATATGAAACATTTATGAGGACATCTCAGTCATTTGTCAATTTCAGTTATTGTGTTATATAAAACATGGTTTAGATTTTTCAATACACCACACATCAAATAATGAATTATATAATAACGCATGTTATCCAACAGTTAGCGTGAGTAATCTAAACACTTATCGCAAGGATGAATAATCTTCGTGTTTCCAATAATTAATGTCTTTATTTAATGCATGTATCATGTAGTTTTTTTTTTAATAAGTGACAATTAAAGTGCATTTTTATTTTGAGTTTGTAATTAACTCATATAGATATATTCTGGAAGATCATGAAACAACTTGGAACACATTTAGTATTTGTCTGCAGTTTACAACACAAGGTCTTTTACAATTATCATAATTTTATTAATTCTTTTAGGTATTCATAATTCAATTCAGAAGTTATAAACTAAGGTATGTGAAGTGGTTTCGTGTAGAGTAGACGTGACTTTAACACTGATCACAAAACCTTAATTTTCTAACAGGAAAATGTCGTTTATGACCATGGTTCTCTTGGAAGTACTTACACAAAATGTTAAAAGCAAAGTCACTACATAAATACTTTACTATGACGTCATAAACAAAAACGACTTTTGTAGAATGTTCGAAGCCTCTAGAAATACTTAGAGCCTTCTGAGTGAATTGAAAACACAGGCAAAAATAATGCGATTTTTTAGTATTAAAATTCTGAAATGTTACATTTTGGTGTCGTCATTTGTTTCAAAAGCTGGAGGTTACATACTTTCCTTCAACTTTGTTTTATACATATTCCTGCTTACAAATATATTAATTTTGGCTCCTTTTTTGCATTTCCTACCTTCTGCTTTATTTTTTATTATTTTATAAATCAGATTAACGTAGTGTGAAGTGGTAATATAATTAAAGCTTTAAAACAAAATTTCCTAATGTTTAATTATTTAAATACAGTTATTTACATTATATACATGAACAATAATAGAAAAATTTTTCCCGTGCGTATTGAGTAAAGATTTTATACATTTATCCAACGTATTCTTCCCATCGGCATTTATAACTATCTGGTAGCTGAAGGGTAACGCTATAAAACTTTTTTTTGATAAATTTGTTTTGAACTCCAAACTTCAACAGTTCATCTCTTGCTTCAAATGTTTCTTTTGGAGGTGGCATATCTGAAATAGAGAGCCGATTAGTTATACATAATACGCACACTATATATAAGCAAATAAAAATATTTACAATTATAAAAAATATGTGTTTTACATTTAATAAAATTCACCCTTTTCCATGCAGAAGAATGATAAGTTCCATTAACGTAATATCGTTTGATTATTTAATTTCAAAATATCTAAAATGAAAAAAACCGTGTTTTACATGAAAAAAGGCAACGTTAAAAACAAATATTTCCTCTTCATCGTATGGTCTAAAATGTATTGCGTGCAGGTAGCTTATAGGATAGAGTTTTTATTTACCCGCATAGTCTCCAATATATCCAATGTACAACGAATAGAATGTAGTATTGGTTATTTGAATTGGTAGAGTAGATGCCGATATCCATCCCCTGCCTTCATATACGTAACCATCAGGACCAATCATGAAACTGCAAAAACAATGAATAACCATTTTTTACTTTGTTTAGGTAATTATCTGATGATTTTGTGTGATTAGTGAGTATGAAAATGTTACGCTTGGTCTTGTGTAGTTAGTTATGCTCAGGACCTTACATTACAGACTTGATAATGAAGGATAGTTAGGTATAAAAGATACCAAATACTTATTGAATTAATACTGTATTTTTAAAGAGGTTGGTGGTCTCTTAAGGCTTTCATTTGTCGTTCACATGAGCCTCAGAGGCCTGTGCGTGGAACGCATCCAGCAGAGTAATGTGACCCCATAACTAAACTGATAAAAAATGGTGGCAGCTAACAGGATCCAAGACAACGACAGCCTTGGGCCCAAAACCCGTGGTGTTACTGACTAAGACACAGAATCACCTTATTTATTGTTGTCTTAGTGGTGAAGAAAGTCATAAAATGAGATTAGTTCTTTTAAAACACACAGGAAACCGGATAACATAACCTTAAAAATCTGCTGCTCAGTGTGGTTAACTTTATGCGTAAAATAAACACAATTTAAAATTAAATACCTTTGGTACTTTTTTACGTATCAATGTGCTACACGTTTTTTTTTTTATCTTACTTTGAAATTTATTTTAAAATCGTGATCTAATATAAAAGACAATAAACTGAACACACCAATCATAATCAGACCCAAAAGGCAAAACGTGACCAATAACTGCACCAAGCTTGTCTATTATGCATGATGATTTTCAAAGTTGATTTATTTCCTTACAATTTTCTATCATATGAACTAGATATTTTTACTTTTCCAACTTTAAAATATCTTGGACCATCAAGTTTCCATTTTTAAATTACATATTGGTCCCAATAATATAAAATATTAAGAAGTCTCCTGGCATCGTTTTTACAATATAAATATGATTGCAGGCTACCTACTTGTAGCGTATGTCGGCGTACTTGTGCATATCCCCTTGCTGTACATACGAAAGCTCACTGATGATTTGCTTAGGAGAAGGTCGAGGGCCAGGAGACGGTTTTCTCTGACGATACTGCTTTCTCATGTAGTTGAAAAACACAAAAGATACTGGACCAGGCAACACAGGGACAGGAATATGAGGCGTCCTGGCGAACCAATCCGAGCGAGTCTTGAGGCGGAAGGACATTTTTGGTCAGCTGCAAATAGTAGAAAACTTTTATTTATGTCATAAACTGAGGTGATAAATAGTATACAGATTTATAGACATATTATATAATGTCGACTAGTGTTAGCATAAACTGCTGTAAACTATATCTAAAGATTACATAAAATAAGTTATTTCTACTTATAATCGTAGAAAACAACATTCTCGCGAACTCAGGCAAAGTTAATCTTTTTTAAATACCCTAATATCATGTATAGTAGCTATTTACCGGAGAAATTCAGGAGTAAGAAAATATATACTGTTAAGGAAGTAAAATTAAAACACATAAGTTTTAAGTGTATCAACCAAAAAGATTTAAATTTAGACACTATTATTCTGGTTTCTACAAAGTAATGTCTTGTATTAATAAAACTTCAATAATATGTGAATCATAATATAACATTTTGCATCTAAATTACATTCGTATTATCAGATTAATATTTTAATAACCAAGTATAAAATATAAATAGAAGAAAACGGAATGTTAGGAATTGAGGGTTGAAGTTGGATTGGGGGGAATTTCGGTCAAATGGACTTCTAAGTCTTGGGATTTACAGGTTATATTGCCCTGCAAGATTGTGTAAAACCTAGAAAAACCCCCAGGCTTAAATTAATAGATGTAAACAGTTCCAGATTTTATCCAAAATTAAAACGTAAATAATTTTTTTTTATTCAAACAGCTTATAGTGTATACAAAATGATTTATATTTTCTTTTTTATGTTTTTAAATGGACTATGCATTATGTTTTCTATGTATCAATAATTATAGATTTTTTGAATAAACTATATAAGAAAAGCTACTCACTTCAATAAATCTGCGTATTGTTTAGGTCATTTTGGATTTTTGTAGCTATTTTAACTAAGTGTGTTATTGAATAACACACAAATATTACAATACATAAAATGATACAGTAGGACGCCATGTTGCTAAAGAAAAACCAATGGTCTAGACTATTATCAAAAATTGATAATGCGTTTTTTGTTGATCAACATTATTTTGTTATCAACATATGGTGAGAAAAATACACCAAGTCTCACAGATTTAAAGCCACACATTTGACGTATATTCAATTTACACTTGTAATTAATTGATGTACATGATATAAAATATACAATTTAGATTATGAAATAGTATCGAACGTAATACAATAGTCCTTTCCCTAATGTGTTTTTTATGTTTAAGACAGTTAAATGGAAATATAATATAAAGACACTTGTTCTATAGAATAAAAAAATACCCCCACCGCAGCAAACCTGCCGACTAAGCGAATTTCCATTTGCCTGAATTGATTTTCAATTGAATGTATTTAATTAACATTAGGTTTTATGAGTACCTAGGCTTGGTGCTACAGGGAGGGTAAAAAAGTGTATTTTTGGTAAAATATGAATAACTTT